GGTCACCCACCCAACTACTAACCTCCCGGCGTGTGGCTTAAGTACGGCTGAGCGGACGGGAAGCCCTGTTTTCCACACCCTGTGGTCGTATGTATTTGATTGATCCATAACAACACTTAGATACGGCAAAGAACGAGGAACTTTCTCCAGTGATGCAATTCTCTCCATGTAACATCGTACTCTGAGCGCCTCTGTCAGGCACAGATGTGAAGGTTGGCAGTCATCGTGGCCGCAAGGCAGGATGACACCCCAGCTTCTGTAATCAGAAGCAGCCAGTCAAATACCGACGATAAGATTAGCTTGGGGGAAAGGCGTAATCCAGAGCCGCGCTAATAGACTTACGCGCTGCTGCGCCTTCTCCATATAGGGCATAGTTGCATGCGCCGGCGTTTATATAACAACCGAACCTGCCACTACCAACTGGCCCCCGAATAGCACCTTGTTTGTTTCTTTCACCACCTGTACTGCCCATACTATATCCACAGAATGCCAACAGAAGCTGTCCACCACCTCAGTCGTGCTCATTTTACAATCGCAATTATATGCCCGCTTCCCCTGGAGGCAGAAGTGGCGATACCGCTGTTTGACACGGTCTACGATAGAACTGTCTATGAAAAATACGGTCCTGTACGAAATGACCCCAACCACTATACGCTGGGCCGCATTGGCTGTTACAACGTGGTTCTGGCCCACATGGGTGGTTGTGGGAAAGCCGAATCATCCAGCGTGGCCAGTAATATCAAACAAAGCTACCCCGGCATTGAACTGGCCCTTTTAATAGGGATCTGTGGAGGAGTGCCTTACAGGACGGACGTGGGTCCAACACAACGCAGGAGAGATGTTTTCCTCGGCGATGTGATAATTAGCAGCGCGATTATTCAATATGATTTGGGGAAAAGACTTCCGCACCGATTTGTGCGCAAGAATACGTCAGAGTCCAATTTAGGGCGAGCGAGTCTGCAGATCGGATCATTCATGACCTGCTTAGAGTCGCGTCATGGCGACCTCTCCAAAGACCAACAGGGGCATCTTCAGACTATACAAGGTAGCAAGGATGTGCCATATCCTGGTATTAAAAGCGTTATCCTATTTAAAGCTGAATACAAGCATCGCGTACGCTGTCTGTGTATCAGTGATGCCAGCGGGGACCCAAGTGTCGTGGACCGCCGTCGTGTGGACTCTGATGGGGCTCCGTATATCCATATTGGCCGGCTTGCCTCTGGAGATACTGTGATGTGCTCTGCCAAGGATCGAGACAAGATTCCAAGCGCGAGGAAGTTCTTGGTTTTGAGATGGAAGGGGCCGGCGTATGGGACAATATCCCTTGCATCCTGATCAAAGGAGTAAGCGACTACGCTGATAGCCATAAGAATGATACTTGGCAATACTACGCAGCTGCGAGTGCAGCGGCTTGCATGCGTGCTCTCCTGGATCAGAATCCCATTTCGAATGCGACATCATCAGCGGGCCTGGCCCAGGGTATGTAAGCAACTATTGTGTTCATAGCTTTCACTAGGTTCTATTAGCTGTGTACTTTACTGAGCGTCAATTGATTACCCTGCAGATATAATTGCCTCCCAGTTTAATCCGCGAAAAAGACCCGCAGAGACTTCTGAAGACTCCAGTAACGAACGGGAAAAGGCGTGCCTTGATCTATTAACTTTCCCCCAAGCTCAATATCGCCTGGACGAGATTATGGATCCCCTCAGTACGACATGCATTTGGGTACTAGAACGACCAGAATATAAGACATGGATGAGCGGGGAGGATTTAAAAAGTCACGGAGGATTTTTCTGGATCAAAGGGAAGCCCGGAGCCGGAAAGTCGACGCTCATGAAACACCTCCTTTCAAAGGCAAAGCAAACTGGAAAAGACACAATCATCTCCTCTTTCTTTTTCCATGCCCAAGGGGTGGACCTAGAGAGGAACACTGTGGGTATGTATCGCTCACTCTTGCACCAGCTTCTCTCATCTACTGCCGTTCCATCGAGTGCCAAACAGCCCTACTTTAGCTTTGCAGCGAAGATGCTAAGTCAAGATGACGGCATAAATTGGACAATCCGAGACTTGAAACATCAGCTGTTATCGCTCATCCGATTGCTGAACAACCGCTACGTGTTCTTCTTTATTGATGCTCTGGACGAATGCGACCAAGCCGAGATGGAGGACATGATACCGTTCCTCGAGCACTTGGGGCACTCTTTGAATGCATGCGATGTTCATCTGAGAATCTGTCTGGCAAGCCGACACTATCCACAACTCAATATTGAGCGTGGCATTGAGTGGGTCTTGGAGTACCAGCAGGAGCATCAAGGCGACATGCGGAAGTACGTTGAGACGAAATTGAAAGGGGGCAAGTCAAAAATGCTCCAAGAGATTAGAGAAGAAGTGTGCGCCCGAGCATCCGGTGTATTCCTCTGGGTTATACTTGTAGTTCGATCGCTAAATGATGCGTTCGCCAAGGGCAAAATCCACGCCGTACGTCAACGGCTGGATGAAATCCCGGACGGGCTCGATGAGCTTTTCACCGATATGCTGACCAGAGACACTGATGAAATTGATGACCTTATCTTTTGTCTTCGACTCATCCTGTTTGCACAACGTCCATTGTCCAAGGATGAGTTTTACTTCGGGGTGCTGTTTACCAAAAACGGCTTGATCAAAAGAGAAGGCGAATGGCACATTGACCCGCACATTGAGAACTTTATCCTCAACGTCTCCAAAGGCCTCGTGGAAATTACCCGCACCAAAGCTCGCATAGTACATTTCATTCACGAGTCAGTGCGAGATTTTCTACTACGACGGGACGGTTTTAGCAAACTCCAGGCTGGGTCGAGCGCGAACACAATCGGGAACGCCCATAACGAGCTTGCACAAATCTGCTTCCGATACATCTGTCAAATCAAGCTCATGGCCGCAAAGGAGCTTCGAAGACCCTGTGTATGGCCACCCCTAGTATGGCCACCTCAAGTCGAGAACTATCTGGATGCAGAAACCCCATTCCTCAATTATGCTATCCATAGCCTCCTGCCTCACAGCAATGCGGCTGAGGCTGGAGGCACTTCGCAAGCTGCCTTCCTGCAAGCGTTTTCTTTGTCATTCGAGGACTTCAAGCACATCCGCAATGCCCTTACATTATGTCACATTCGCCAATATGGATCCGACGTCACGGTTCTATACGTTCTAGCAGAATTGAACTTGGACCACCTCATCCGCCTGGAACTTCTACGTACGCCACAGATGTGGAAGCAAATGGGAAGGTATCACAGCCCAATGGGTGCGGCTGTCTACTTGGGTAACACACTTGCAATCAGGGCCTTACTTGGTTGCAATACGAGTTCAGATGCCTCTGTCGACAACTCCTTGCTTGAGGCTGGGGTTATTGATCGTATGAAACAATATGTGGTCAACAGCAAGCGAATCAAGATGAAAAGAGGTTCTATGGCTTTGTATCTGGTGGAGTACGCTATTAAACGTGGTCATGTAGCCATATTAAAGCTCCTCTACCTCACTGGCAAAATCGATCTGAACCATAAGCTCAACTGTCGTTCGCTACCGCTTATCTGTGCGATTAAGAGTGCCAAGGCAGAAATTGTGGAATTTTTGCTCAGCTGTGATAGAGTCACTATTGCCAGCCCCACAAACGCTTTGCAAGCTGCAATCACTCGAGGTAAAAGGGATGTTTGCAGTGTCCTACTTTCCCTCCCATGCAGTCTTCGTTGGTTGGACTCCTACGGGGGAGTTGCCATCCACTGGGCAGTAACTGGAAACAACGGGTCTACAATGAGACAGCTCCTTGAGCTTGGTTGCGACGTAACGCTACGGGATGGAACTGGTCGAGATGCTTTGTCACATGCTGCCGAACAAGGCAAAATTGAGATGATGAAAATCCTAATTGAGAGCGGGGTTGTCGATATAGATGGGAAAGACGGTCAGGGAAGGACGGCTTTCTCATGGGTCGCAGCACCATACAGTGAAACCATCAATCGTTCGCCTAGCCCGAAAAAAAGTTGGGATCAATTGCAAAAGGAAGCCATGTATGTCATGGCGATCAGCAAAGAGCTCGAGGCCTCCTGCGTTATCTGATGCTTTGCCCCCGGTAGAAGGCTTGAAAGGGGCGAGCGGAAATGTTCCAATGCGTAGTAGATTGGAGCAAATTTTCCAATGCCCTTCAATTGGGACGCGATTCCCGCGGCTATCGGGCTATTTGGTTTTCATTTAGCCTTATTTACTTGTGGAGGGGAGGATTTTCAGGTAGGTGAACTTACAGTATGAGCTCATACCAGGAATGTGCCTTGCGATAACTTTCCAACAGCCATATTCCATAAATGGGGCCAATGTCGGCCATAAATGATAGCATTTGAGTCCGGGATTGCGGATCAGATCCACTGATAGAAGGCAAGAAACACGTAATTGCAGGCCGAAAGAGTTTGTCCAGGAATGGGATATTATAGAGTGGTCTGGCTAGGCTGAGTGCCTCCCCATTCTCTGCAGACCATATGCCCTCTACAAATAGAGACACCATGAATGGCTCAGTCTGAGTTATCAACGCCCCCATTGTCTTTTGCGCAGCAGCATAACAGGCAACAAGAGGAACGATTGAAAGAGCACGCTTCCATAACACATTATCCCGTTTGAAGACACTGTTGTCATCATCCAGATACGGCATGGTGCATGCTAGCGACTTTGGTGGCAGAGGTAGACCGTCGATCTTTGCTGCTCCAACAATTGTAGCGGACGTTTTATCGACCAAGTATTGACTAAGATATGGAAGAAGATAAAGCCCAATGATCTTTTCTTTGAGACCAGCTAGAGCCTCTATTCTGGTCAAGTCATAAGCTGACTGCGAAATATGTTCAAGCCGTTTCTGGCGGATGTTCTGCCATGCTTGCAGGCACTGGTGGATATCCCGGACATCTGTCCTAGGTTTTGTAGGGCCCTTCAATAATCTAGAGAGGCTGTTTGCAAGCGATGCAGCGCTCTCAATTGCACTGTTGCCCCCCTGTCCCAGATTTGGTGTCATCTATAACCAATATCTTAGTTGAGTCTCTGGTAATGCTTGAGAGATTAGACGCACCTTATGGGCTGAGTCACCAATGCAAACATATCGATCGACACACCAATGCTTATAGACAGCCTCTTCAAGGGGTACAAAAGTTCTGACAATTGCTCTTTTGTTGATTTCAGCAAGCGGTACGTTGGGAGTTATTGGCTTCTGTAGATAGGGGCCAAGATGGCTATCGATCTCATCTTGACTGAATCTTGGAATTTGAGATGCGGGGTAAGTTCGGTCCATTCTAGTGAAGAAAAACCAATAAACGCGCCCTTCTTTGCCGATGATCGTGAGTATGGAATAGCCCTCCGCGAAGGTTCTATGTCCGTGTCCCGGTCTCAGTCCAGGGGTGGCTGAGGATATACCGAATACACAGTTGTACTCGGATGTCATCACTATATTGCATACGAATTAGTAAGGGTCATATGAAGCTTTTGCTTATGTATGGTGGAGTCTTACAGTTCTTCTCCTTCAGGGCTTCATGTTCCATCCCTCGAGACTCCACATACTGCCACATCTGTCGTCTCACTGTGCTCCGTACCCCATCGGCTCCAACAACAAGATCACCCTCATGGACGGATTGATCCGCACAACGGACCATAACCTTTTCAGGGGTATGCTCTATCTCAGTCACCTTCTTGTTCACCATAACACGATGTCTTTTGTCTCCGAGGCCCTCGTACAGAATGCTGAGCAGAACTTGGCGATCAAGGAATGCAACCGGATAACCGTGTCTATTGAATCAGACTCGCCGCCAGTGTATGAAATCTGAGGACGACCGGATATATTGGCTTACCTTTCATATATAATTAGGGGAGCAACTGTGTCGGTGATGGGCTTGGCGTCATCGGTCCATGTGAAATTACTAGTGAGAGGCTCAACTTGACTGAGAACGTCGTCGTAAAGGCCTAGTTGGTCCAGGATGCGAGCACCGTTTGGGAGAATACCAATAGATGCACCAACCTGGGGTGCAATATCCGCATGGGACTCCAGCACAACAAAGTCTATGTTGTTTCGAAGCAGACAGTGAGCGAGTGTAAGCCCGGCGATTGAACCGCCCACAATCACAACGCGGAACCTGGATTCGGAATCTGCCATGATATACTCTATAATTTGGAATATCCAAAGATGTCGCCCTAACGTGAATAACAGGCAGTGTGTGAGGGACCGAAACGACGACGACGACTGGAGGTGCCATGGTCTTTATGTGTGTCTCCTCGGGTGGACCCATCTAAAGTAGTCGGTGTAATTTAGCATAAGAGAGAAATCCATCATAAGTGTTAGCATGCTCCATTTCGGTTACGCAAAGTGTCATGACTACGATTAAACTAAAACCATGGGAAAGGTCGATCAAAGCTCAATGTAGTTAGAAGGCAAAGGAGCATTTAGGACCGTTCCTTCATGAAACGCAGTGGGTCCAAGCCTCGAGCCGAGAAACCCGAGAAATCCGGAAACGCAACTTACAAGAAACCCGATGATCCCTAGTCCACCTATACTCCTTTTTCTCCAGGAGGCTGTTGGTTTCGATTGTTTTTTATGGTTTCCATCATGACGGCCTCGCATACCACTATCTCCACAACGAGAGATCGGAAACGTCGCGAACAGAAGCCCCGCGTTCTGTTGTCATGCACGTCGTGCAGGGAGAAAAAGTATGTATTAATAGTATGATCAAATGACAATTGATCTCTTTGCTTCTGTTTAGCAATGCATAACATCTTCAAAGGCTGAGATGCAGCCGGGAACGCCCCTGCACGAACTGTCGGAAACGAGGCCAGGATGCAGCCTGTCAATACAATACCGAGCGTTCGAACGCCCGGACATCGGGAAAGCCAGAACCTACCGACGTCCACAATGAATTGCAATTCTTAAAGAAAAGATTGCTCTTCTTAGAAACGCAAGTCACGCGGGATTGCAACTCTCCTTCCACGTCTCGGGATGATAGGCTCCATGTTGGCGAAAGTCCCAGCAGAGATTCTAGCGAAAGTGAGATAGCTTCGGCCGCAACACAAGTTTCCGCAGGGGGAAGTTCCTTAACTGGTTGCTTCCTCACTGGGGAAAGTGGAACTCGATTCGTTAATCCAAGTCACTGGCAGGCAATCATGAACGATGCGGTGAGTCACACCAGCGACGTTTGGTCCTGCCTCTAGGAGGGGTTTTTCATCATGACATGTCATAACGTAGATGTCAGGCCCAGAAGCTCAACCGAAAAGATTACAACGATAATGATGGCCAAGACACTGATAGAATCTCCCGGCCGGAAGGCTCAGTCCTGCTACTGGGAATTTCACAGATGATGGACATGGCAGAGCTTTTAAATGCACTACCGCCTCGCGAAACTGCAGATATGCTCGTCGATCGCTGTCTGAACTCCAGGGAACCATCGCTAAGTACGTACTCAAACCCTTACAGTCTTACATACATCCTTGAACTACCTCGAGAAGGATCTAACAAGTTCTGCAGTCATCATTCACGCTCCGACGTTCAAAAGCGAAGTACATGCCATCAATAACTGACCTATAATATAATGATCTAACGCAGGTTTTCAACAGTACCAGAGATTCTGGGATAACCCCGCCGGAGCACCGGTCGCTTGGATCGCATTATTGTATTCAACCCTCTCTTGTGGGATATACATTCAGCATACGGGAGATCCGAAAGTGTCCTCGTTAGACTTGCCTAGAGCATTCTATGTGTACCGTAATAATGGTGCAGTTGCGTTGGCGAAGTCAAATTTCGCTACTCCGGGCCTTTATAAAGTTGAAGCATCCATCTTATACCTCGGCATCGAGTACCTCCAAAGCAACGACTATAAAACAGGACTCCCAATGTTGCTCAGCATTGTGTCGCGACTAGCAATCATGATGGGATATCATCGGGATCCTCAGCTCTACCATCTCCAGATATCGAGTTTTGAAGCAGAAATGCGGCGCAGAGCATGGCTTGTATTGATCACAATCGACTCCATACTCGCATGGCATACAGGTCTACCCCGGGTTATTAGCCAGAGTTTAGGCGATGTGAGGCGCCCCATGAACCTTCTGGATAGCGATTTTGGTCCAGAAACTACTGTCCTTCCTCCTTCGCGCCCCGCAGATGAGGTGGCCAGCAACATTGTATACATGTCGGCAATGGAGCAAATGTTGTCTGTCGCCAACGAAGTCGGCGACATGGCTTCACACCCTTCCCTACTTCCCGAAAGAACTCTTGAATTAAATATGAAACTGGAAAATACCAAGAGTCGCTTGCCCAGCATACTTCAGTTGCAGTCTCCAGAGACACGGGCATCAGATGACGAGACTGTGATCAAACAGTACTGTCTGGAAATAACGTATCAGCGCGCGCGATGCATCTTACATCGCCATTACTTGACGGCTCTTTATCCAGAGCTTCATAAGGGACTAAGGTCCGTGTGCGTGGATGCAGCCCAGCAGGTTCTAACTCTCAATTCTGAACTATTTCAAGTTCTGACTAAAACACATAATCAGCAGCTAGCGTGGTTCGGGGCATCTCGCTCAAATTCCGATTGCTTGACAGCTGCCATGGTAATATCTTTGGAGGTGATAACACAATCGAAGAATGGCAGAACTGTGGGAATTACGCCCCAGGCTGATCTCATTGAGCTATTGAAGGCCTCCCAAATATCCTGGAGGAGCTCACCAAGACCAACATCGGAGACCCTCAAAGCTGCAGGTATAATTGGCACAATGCTAGATCTATTGGGATATGGCGGTCCGGGTCCCTTGCTTGCCTCATATGGGGCTCAAGAAGGGCAGCAGAATCATAGAGAAAGCACAGAGACGTTCTTACGATCCCCAAGTATGATGCATGACATACTGACGGGGGATTCTGCGTTGGAAATGTTTGACTGGGTAAGGCATACTGCTCCATCGCACCTATTACGCTGACCATGACACTCCAAGGCTCTTTGGGATCATGAGATGCAATATCTGAGTGCGGTGGAAATTTGATTGTGAGAATGCTGATCACTTGCCATCTTACCCAATCCAACGGTGGATTGATGAAAACATTATTCGGTCAAAAGCACTCAGAGTTACTGTCAGCATACCAAGGGAAACCCCGGGAGCATACTATACTAGCCCGAAATTTTGGTTAGAATGGCTAGATACTTGATATAACCTTGGTTTATATACTCTGTTCATTTGAATCTGTACGTTCTATTGTCGTTACGAAAATGCAGAGAATTAACATTGATCTGATACAGGCTAGCCAATCAATTCAAGATCTATCACCCGACTCTTGCCAATAGCGATGAGAGCTATCCCTCAGCTTTCAGAGCAATAGAAAAACCAGCCTGCATCTACTTGAGCACGAACAGGTCTAGAACTCAGGGAGTGTGTTATCGTAAGCAGTGTCCCATACAGCATTACTGTCCTCGCCTGTTTTGTGGAGAACGGTACAGAGAGCTGCGTCCTCAGTATGGCCTGCAAAGTTGATGTGTGCAGACTTCTCTTTGAAGTCACCATAATCGACCAGGTCGCCCGGGGTCGTGGGGATGTTGGAGACATGAAGCTGGATAATAGGGGTCACATGCTGACAGTTGTTTTGCTTGACGGGAATCTAGAAAGACAGGTGGCGTCATTAACAGAAACAAAGCGGGCAAATGGGAATAAACCGCAGGAATTACGGACATACCGCTGCGCACGCATGAACAGGTCCGAGGTCTTCGGGATCGTCTGGTTGTTGGCGTTTTCCAAAGGCAAGCACGTACGTCTTGTCATCGTTTGGGATGTCCTTGGTGCGGACAGTAAAGGTATTTAGAGACTCGGCGTTTTCTCCTGTCTCCTGTAGCTTGGGATCCCCTTCTTCGAAGACCAGGTTGAATATTTCTGATCATTGTGTCAGTACTTCTCAGGGAATAGCATCGAGCGCTATATAGATACAACTACCTGGGCCTCCGAGTCTAATCCCTGAATCCCACCAATGACTTTGATCAATATTGACATGGTTTTCTTCGAGTGTTCCAACTCCTGTGTTTCGCATCAGCCTGGTCTCTGAACGGTCTGTGGGTCGGTTGTGGCTTCAAGAAAGATAAACACATAATGAATCGACATACCGGCATAGAGGTACGCAGTGGTGTGGATATCCCAGACCGTCTCATTGTTAATGTTGTCGCTTGCAATCCAGGCAGGAGTCAAAAAGTCGGAACTGGGAGGTGGAGCAAAGAAAATATACTTCTGTGCTGCACCACTGTTGTTTATCACCCTGAACCAGTGTTCTTCAGTCTCGTCTCCAGACATTTTTGCGGTGTTCTAATGTGGGATGAGTCTGTAGGAGGTGATTCGGTTGACAATGAAGGATAAACGATTTTCGTGGAGGGATTATCCCGGAATTATATAGGCATCTGTGGGAGCTGCATGCAACCCTCCCTCCTCAAATGGAGCTGAAGCTGAACTCCGCGGCGACTTCGCAGGAATACTGATATGGATGAACGTCAAACTATTGTTACAGTCAACCGCATGCAGATACAACTGTACATCGCGGATATGTGCCGAAAGCATACATGATATAAACTTACCATGGTTGGCTCCAGCTAATGACGGCGTCTTGCACCAATTGCTTCTACTGGGGAAAGGCACTATCTTGACGACGTGCTGACTGCTCGAACCCCGATGCCACTTATCCTTAGGGTGGTATACAAGTCGATAGTGACGCACTTGAGTGCAACATTATGCACCGCGGTATTCGAGATCAGAAGCACCCTCCTTACACTTACGGACTCATTTCTGGACAATGGACCTGGTAAAAGCTAGCCAAATGAAGGTTGGCACTCTGTAATTTTGACCATCAACGAAGTATCATGAATGTTATTTTCTTACATTATAGCCCAGATATATTAAGGTCTGGTGCTAATTTTTGTGCCTCATAAAACTTCGAATAGCGATAAGTCCTAGAGAGTCACGACTGAAGGCTAACGGCCTCGTATAGTTACTAATCTTGCTATAGCAGGTTCACATCTCAGAGAATTCTTTCGGCTTGTGTTGTAGGAAGGAAACCCTGGAAAGTGCACAAGTCGTGCAAATATTAGGGTAGCAGCCGCGGAATGGCGGATGCCATGTCTCATCCAGCTGCATATTCTCGATGTTTCATTCCATGGGTTCCATATCATGTCCATCTCTGGTTGGCTTAGGAGAAAGGTGGGTTGAGATGCGGCTGGCCGTCGTACCATATGCAACGTGTCATGGTGATCTGAAGTACCTCCGCGGCCATACCCATTTGGATTGCCTTGAGGATCAGCATCGAACAGCCGCAGCCGGACAAGACTAGGTTTATTTTGGGGCCTCCGAGCCCAGACTGTAGCCCCACTCCATTCCTGAAGGCCGAAAGTAGAAAGTCGCTGCTACCCAGGCCTCTTTGCAGACGCCATAACCTGCAGTCGGTTGCAGACTCGAACTGTGAAGAAGTCTTGGCCCTGAGCCCTAGGTGCTGATAGCCAGCTTTCCGAAAACGTTGTTGGAAATATACTCCATCACCCAATAGGAGGCACCTGATGGGCAACCTAAATGAGGTGCCAGGATACACCAAACTGTTCGATGACAGCCACACCTCACCTTGTGACGACGTATAGTATTCTTGGAAGGTTGCTGGAACTCTGGTGGCCAGTGGTGCTAAGTCAGGGCCAGCCAGCTTTTCATCACTAAAACTGGGGTCAGCAAACCATTTACCCAGTCGTGAACTTTACCAGTGAAAAGACGGTAAGTCTAACTGTAACCTTCGTGGCGGGCTGGGGCCTTCCGCTGAGAAAGTCTTGTTTCTGTGTTCCAGATCGGCGGTAGCCCTGCCTTCTGCTACTCAGCTATCATTGATGTATCTTCGTTGCTCTTCAGAAGTGGGCCGATGATGCCGGAAATAGGTCCTAGGTCTATGACAACATCACAAAGTATCTTGTCAAGACAATCTTCTTGGCACCCCTAATGCAATTACACGCCTGGTAAATGCCAGGCCCGAATATATCCTGTATCTCAAGGGTAACGCTCTCCTAGAGATTGCCTACCCATGATGGTTGCATCCGTTCAGTGCTTGGGTCGCTAAAATCGTCGACTCCTTGAGTGTGGCTTACTTACACCCTGAGCTATGTCACTGGTGAGCTTCTGTGCTAGATTAAGATCTTTCTCACAGATATCAGCTCAGCTTCCACGCACGCCATCGCCTGAACGGCCTAAACCAAAGATGCCTTCGCGTAGCAGGGGATTTAGATCTAAATTGCAAGCTCGCGCACTGGTTCCCATGATTAGAAAATGGCCACGCGTTTCAGCGTCACCACGATGAATTACAACGGAAGCAAATAAAATCGAACATCAAAGCCAAGAAAAACAAGAAACAAAAAGTAAATAGAAGATAAAAACATACAACAGAAGGGATTCGCTGGTGGTCACCCACCCAACTACTAACCTCCCGGCGTGTGGCTTAAGTACGGCTGAGCGGACGGGAAGCCCTGTTTTCCACACCCTATGGTCGTATGTACTAGATTTCCTTTTACTTTATTCTATGAAGAAGATTATGAAAACTCTATGCGGAATACCAACCCTCATCTTCAAGTCAGGACAGCAGCTTTAGACGAGACGCATGCTAGATTACTGGGCGGGTTCGGGATTCCTGCTCTGAACCGATCGGAATAATTGCACGATGAGCTTCACCATTACCTGTAATTACATTGTCCAGGAATGTAGCATGCCCATAATGCATCTTGTTGTGTCGACAGCAAAAGAACTTCCCAATGTATTCGGTATCATCGGGAAGATATTGCCCTTCATGGGGTCTACATCAGGCTCCGGCAGCATGAAAGTCCTGCGTTGCGGTTGCAAGGGCTTGATCTGCGCACATGTCATTCGAGTAGTCGAAAGTTTGCTTTCTATAGTTAATGCTGTTGAATGACAGCACATTACGTACATGAGGCCCACAAAGAGAAAACATCCGTTACACAAAGCAAGGTGTTATGAAAGATTTCCTATCTGATAACCTCCCTCTATCCCTTGCACTAGAACATTACGAGTCTAGAGAGGGAATGTGTTCGGGTTAAGGTTGGAAGGAGGTTCATGAATAAGCTGATACAGTATATATCAGCGCCTACGTTATACAACTTGAACAGGGATTTGCTCTGGTTTGTGTAACATTCCCTGGGATAGCAGATACTTATTTGTAGAAACTTTTGTTCGAGGTAAGTGGACAAATTGGGACTATAACGTAGCGGGAAATAGAGGACAATACGATAAACCGTGACGTTCAATTCTATGCCTTTGAGTTATCAATGATCTAAAAGGTACATCGGCTTCTGCTGGATTGTGCCTCAATATTGTATTTATCTATCTATCACTCGTAGTCGCACCACGTTTCCAATTTACAGATATTTACTTCAATTCCACCACTACTCAGTTACCGGCTGATCTCGACAAGAGACCGTTAGTTTGAGAATCCCCAACAAAAAATGGGAAAACTCTGATTGGATACAGACTATGTCGACAGTTTGTGGTCAAGATCTTCTCAAGTGGCTTCTCGAGGAACCATCCAACATAGCTTCATTCGAGAAGCTGTAAGACCTCATTTCGCATGAATTCGACGGTACCCACCAAGCTAAATATGCCTCCGAAGGCTCCTTTCAGATTGTGAAACCCGGCTCTCCTGATCATGTTGATGACCTCTTGAAGTCAGGATGCACAGAGCCAAGCTGTGCCCCTGCGACCGAAGAAAGAATCATCAATGGAAAACAAAATACGTACCGAGTGTTGCTGAAAAGCCAAGGGTCTGAGGCTGCCAGTCTTACCAGCAGCGGCATGACTCCCGGGCTCACGGGAGCAGGCCTGGGCGGAAGTCGTTGCCCTTACCTTGACGGATTGGCATGCGGTAACTTATGGTTCGAGAGGAAGTCACCTGCTCGAGATCTCTTCTGGGTAGAATCGTCCATGTGTGAGCTTCAGAAGCACTCGAAGAGGTCTGAAGAATCCTTGACGAGCTTCCGGCGACTGGAGCCAGCGATCCATATGCCTCGTATGCAGGACGTCTTCAACGCCTCTTGGGAAAAGAGCGGAGAAGACCCACCATTGAGAGTTGGTATGAGTTTGAATAAAGCTGCAATCGACCCAGATTACCTGCGCGACATGGGTTTTTCGCTACCTGGCTCTGTTGTCGACAGTGCGCTTGTAGCAAATTTTGATTATGTTCATACGGCCACTCATACTCAGCTCAGAGCCCTTATGACTTGGTCTATGGAGAATCACAAGTACGAACCGGACATTTTGTTTACTCTGGCAACCTTCATATGGCAAATGCCAAACGCTCGTCATCGTGTTATGGAAAATGCTGTTTCTGTCCCCGAAAACCTGAGACTCAGAGTAGGGTGGAAGTTCAAGGGGATCCTCCCTGGGTATAGCGACCTCGTGGATGACTCAAGATACACGCAGCATACACCCGAGCGATTTGACATTTCGATTCCTTGGTCCGGAGAAGTGGTGTCAGGTGGCCATGCTGTCTCCAGGGTCGTGGAGCTAGCTACAATACACGAAGAGCAAGAGGTTCTCGAGATGTTCGTTATTTAAATATCTAACTGGGGCGGATCAGCCAGATTTCCACGTATACAACCCGGCCGCACTTAGATTGATGTGACGATGATTGGCAGCGCAAAGTCGACTTCACCTGGGCACTTTGTATAGCCATGTGAGAGGAGGCATTCTATACACTGCTTCAATCAAAACTCTGGGGATTTAAAAAGGTCGTGTGGCAAATGATGACAGGGCTGGAAAGGGTTATGAGGTGCGAAAGTGGTAGTAGATATTGCTGAAGAATGACTCCACCCACAGGTCATAATAGCGTGATTGAAATATATTTTGCCGAAGATCGTCTTCAATAACCTGAAGTCGACGTTGTGGATCTGAAGGCAACTTAAGAAGGCTACTAGTACTACCAGTATGTATGAGGGAAGCCAGTGATGTGTTTGGAAAATTGACTACATTAAAAAAAAGAGCGAAAAAATAATAATGAGTTTATCTTGGAAGAGAAGAACAGTTGATTCAAAGCGGAAGGAAAAAAAGTAAGAAGATAAAAAAAGATGTGTCCCGAGGGAGGTTCGAACTCCCGGCCTTGGGATTGCATGGAAGTTATGCTTCCACGTCATACTGTAGTATGAGACCCACGTGATAACCAACTACACCATCGAGACGACTTGTTGAAGAACGTTAACTGACATAGCACTATATGGCAATAGCAAGCAGAGACAGGGTCAATGATCAATCCCGCCCTCCCCTCTCCTTTTTCCGTCCCCAACGAAGGTGCATAACCGGCGATAAGATTGATTAAGCTTACATATCCCCCTAAGCCGCGGGTCTAGCACAGGGAAGTGCTTTAACCATTTCATCTTTCTACCCAAAGGAGCCGCAGTAGCGTCGCCAGATGCTTTTTATTTCTACATTGGGAAACTCCGAAAGTCCCGATACGAAGCCCATGGGTTACCGATGCCACCATCTTTGGCTGGCACGTCATCAGATGACCACAGCATATGTAGAATGGGAGCCCAATTTAACCAATATCCTGTCGGAATAACTCTCTGCACTATCCGATAGCCAAGCTGGCTAACCGCTCGTGAAGATCCATCAGTAGTCAGTACATCCTAGTGGGTCTTGAGCTTTGCCTTTCACGGCTACCCGGAAATAGGCTCTGGGATACATTGCTTTCCTAATTCTTCCAAGTGCGGCCCGCTATCGGGCTCGGGCATACAATAGGGGCGTTAACATCTTTCGTTGACATTTAAATAACAGCCATCCCAACTCAATATTCGACTAATGACTTCCACACTCCAACAGTCCCCCGCCAAAACCCAACCAATCTAACCATGGACAAACTCCCTCCCCGCATCGAGGCCTTTTTGGGGCGTCTCTTGCGCAACAAACGAGGCCGCGACGCAAAACTACTCACGCGCATCAGTCCTGCTCTTCAGGCGCTTCAACCCACCATCGCGGTAACCTCGTCCGTGGGCCCATCGCAGTCTCCACTACCCGCGGAATACACTCAGGTTGGCGCGAACCGCTTCCCGCCTCTTTCCTGGACGGTACCCAACGACTCGGTGCCCGCAGAGAAACTCAACAGCTACGTGCTCATTGTCGAGGATGCCGATGCGCCGCTGCCGAATCCAATCGTGCATGGGCTATACTACGGACTTTCAAAGGACAAAACCAGTATCTCTTCAGATGATGTTGCTGTGACGGACGCGAGTAAGAGGGCACTACAAGGGGGATTTCAGTACGGGGTGAACTGGCACCAGAATGTGTGGAGTGGGCCGCGACCGGTATTGGGACACGGCTCGCATCGGTATTTCTTTCAGGTGTTGGCGTTGGGAAAGGCGTTGGAGGAGAAGCCTTGGGGGAAGGAGGAGTTGTTGCAGTGGCTGGAAAAGGAGAAGGAGAGTGTGTTGGCTTGGGGGGAGTGGGTGGGCACTTTTGTGCGGGAGCCTTAATCGATGGAATGTGGAATGGATGATGAACTATGAAACTTTGCTAAGATAGTGGAATGCTTAATTCTAATTCTAATTTATTCAATCATATTATTTTATGCTCGCTTGTCGGGTCGATCATATTTGGGTATGGATGGTCAGGTGATCTGATTGTTAGTGCACTTCATCAGTAGCACTCCACTCCCTACCCCTGTGTTCTTCATCCCTGCTGCCATGTATCTACCCGACAGCTGTAACGACCATTTCTAATTTATCGGAGGATTCGATCATGCTGCGTTGCATTGGATTCCCAGGCGAATAATCTCCTCATTCGTCCAATGTGCCGATGAGGGCCTCACTGCCCGTGCGCCACACCCAACGCTAGTAGAACCTTGCTGATCGTGTAATAGCTGGGTGGAAATAAGCAGCCCGCATCATGATCCACCGGCATTGTACGACTTGACTCGAAGCCGACCCAGCGGCTACTCGCAGCAGCAATTTATGCGTGCAGTCCAGGAACGAATGATGAGTTCTATTCTCCTGGCAGCCGTTAGAGAATCTCACGGGGGTCTACCCCTGATGCGGTACATGGCAGTCTTGAGAGACAATGTCCTCTCCAGAAAATATCTCATGGATTGTTTCTGAGATATGCTTCAATCCTGCTCGTGCTGAAGGTTTTAGGCATAGTAACTCTCGACTAAACTTTGTCAGTGATGCTGCTAAGCTTTACTGGCCGTCTTATTGGGATTAAACATATACTGAAATGCATTCTGCTCAATATATGATAGGTCAGGTCGTAGTCGTGGAACATCTATGCCCCGTTACATGGGACGATGCCCAAGAGGGAGCAATTTGGCTAGGAAACGTGCATAATAATCCAGCGACTTAGGCTTCGAGCATATAGCGCACTATTTTATACTAATGATGATTATTGCAGAAAAAGCGGGGTGGATGCTCAGTGGCTGTTGTGCAGTATTTCTCCATTTCTGCATACGTTTTAAGTGAGGCCGTTCAAAGTACTTGTAGAAATAAACCCTCCCTTGAACTTGCGTGACTCTTCAGATTGGAGTCTCATGTACGATACAATGACCCAGAGAGATGAAAAAGAACAATCTGCTTCCGGTAGCAGTAGTCCTCTCGAAACCATGGAGAGACGCCCGGACGTTGGAAGTTCTACCTTTAATGCCATCGTTGTTGTGAGTACTGCATTTTCTTTGCTAAAATAACCATCCAAGGAATTTCTAATTAAACTCCTGACAGGACTGGAATGGACCAGATGACCCAGAATGTCCTCGACACTGGCCAAAGAGTCGGAAATGGCTCAATGTGCTTCTGATCTCTCTCCAAGGAACTCTGTCCCCGATCGCATCAACTATTCTAACTCTAGGTGTATTCGACATCGCAACCGAGTTCCGTCTAACGAGCCCATATACCCCAGCCCTCCCCATCGCCTTCTACCTCGTGGGTCTCGCACTAGGGCCCCTAGGCGTAGCGCCATGCTCGGAAATATTTGGCCGTCGCCCCATCTACACCATCTGCTTTGCCATCTTCACCCTCCTCAACATCGGCTGTGCATTGGTGCATAACATGGCCGGACTGGTTGTTCTACGCTTTCTAGCGGGCGTGGCTGGCTCCGCAGGGCCTAGCCTAGGCGGCAGCAGCATCGGGGATCTGTTTTCTCACGAGGAACGAGGCAAAGCTCAAGCGGTGTATGGCTTGGGACCTATATGTGGTCCGGTTCTTGGAGGTGTTCTTGGAGGGTTTATTGCGTACGGCACGCATGGCTGGCGATGGATGATGTGGGTGGTCGCTATAGCCGCTGGTGTCGTTACCAGTCTCGCTGTTCTCTTCCAGAAAGAAACATATGCGCCGGTCCTGCTGCAACGTCGGAAGAGAGCCCTGGAAAAGGCGAATCCGGGGGTCACGTACCGGTTTGAAGTGGGCTCACATGCATCTCAGGTCTTCCGACAATCTATCCTGCGTCCCCTCCGCCTTCTCTTCTTTTCACCGATATGCACGTTCATGAGTCTCTACCTAGCATTGTATGTGACTGGAAATCTCCACTGATCGGCGATCAAAGTACTAACAAATCAATCAGAGTATTTGGCCTCCTCTACCTCCACATGGTAACGATCACCCTCCTCTTCGCCTCTCAACCCAAATACAACCTCCACAGCTACAACTGGACACACGGCACAACCGGCCTGGCGTTTCTCGGCGCCGGTCTCGGCGCATTCGCCGGCGTCGCATTCTGCATGAAATACTCCAACCCGTCATACCGATACTTCGCTACCCGCTACGAGCAAAAGACCGGAAAGGCAACCCGCATGCCCGAATTCCGTCTACCGTTTATGCAAGTCGGCATGCTGATCGTGCCCATTGGTCTACTGATTTTTGGATGGACTGCAGAATATCACGTCCATTGGATTGTGACGCTCGTGGGCGCTGCTATTCTGGGATTGGGCATGGTCACGGCGTATATCTGTGTGCAGTCGTATTTGGTCGATGCGTTTGAGGTGTATGCGGCTAGTGCACTTGCTGCTGCGGTGGTGGCGAGGTTTATTGTTGCGGCGGTGTTTTCGGTGGTTGGGTTTCAATTGTATCGAAGATTGGGGTATGGGTGGTATGTATCCTGCTTTATGACCTGGGTGACCTGGGTTGCTAATAGTAGTTTCTCATCTAGGGGATCGACGCTGTTGGCGTTCATTTGTTTGGTGGCTGTTCCGATCCCGTTCTTGTTGGGTCGGTATGGACCTAGATTGCGTCGGATGGGGACTGAGATGGTCTAAATGGCGACGCCTGTTGAATGATTTTATAGTAGCAGAAGGGATGTCAATCCAGAGCTTTGGGCCACTCGACAGGACCGATCTACAACGTGCCACGGGAGATGGACCAGGACCTGCAGGGTAGGATAGCAGGATACTGAATCGAGCGTATGACCATGAGAAAGGTCAAGGAAGTCCATTGACCTTGTACCATTGAATCGGTCGTTGAAGAGATCGGTAGACCTTCTATGCCTCCAGTGTATGCCACCATTCCTCATTAGGCAAGCGTGAGGGGTCAAACACAGACACAGCCTCACAATCACGACTCTCCTCCACTCTTAGAGCCACCCTCATCATCTTGCCCTCAATTGTATCTATAGCAGATCCCACTGCTTCTACCCCAAAAATACTTCAACCTAAACATGCCTCCCACTCAATTCCGCCTGATATTCAACGTCCCCCCCACCGGCCTTGCAGCCTGCAAAGCTGCCATATTTGCTGCCGGGGCTGGTCGCTACCCCGGCGGGAAGTATACCGAGTGTTGCTGGACCACTGCTGGAACGGGCCAGTTCCGACCTGGTGACGCTGCCAACCCGCATATTGGAACTGTGGGCGCGTTGGAGGAGACCCCAGAGGTCAGGGTTGAGACGATTTGTGTGGGAGAGGATGTTGCACGGCAGGCTGTAGAGGCGTTGAAGAGGTATGTTGATTTCCGCTGATGTGAAACTGAAGGTGATTAGATATTAACTGGTTGAGTAGGGCTCATCCGTATGAGCAGCCGTCATATAGTGTTTTTCGAATGGAGGAGTTTTGATCACCTGTAGTGGGAGTACGAGTTATGTCTTGGTGCGGCTTAGAAGGGTGGAACCGAGTATTTGCATCAAGTTTGTGTATATAGCTTCTCACCTGGTCACTTCTTGGGAGCGTTGTGTCTGACATCGCCGGCTGTCGAAAGGGTATACGATGATCCCCTTCCTTGCTTGATGGTAAACCTCAAACCCAAACAGTAATGTAACATCTTATTTCCATCCATATCTTTTGTCTACTCCAACCAGCAACTCAACGGCTTTACAGTGACATGAAGGCAAATAGAACCAAGGCTATCTGAGCCAGTGGCACGACTTCAATGGATCGGGAAAATATTAAGGACAATTGGCCGGCCAATTTTTCGAGGTACTAAGTAACATTGTGCCTATCCCCGGCAGGCCTAGATGTACATCGAGCAACAAAGTCCACCATAGCTTCTCTACCACTCGGCTTGACTGGAATCTCTGTATGCAGAGCTCCTAGAACATGCTTCCGAGAGATATCCAGGCCAAGGCGTTTCCCTTCTCGTTCCAGGTCATCTGCCGCATGTGGCGGGATTACCTCGTCTCTCTCGGCAGACAATATTAGGACTGGTGGCAATACAGCTTTGTCACCTTTGCTGTCGACATTCTGATAATCTATATTCTTGAGATCGTCTCTCCACCGTGCCATCCGCTCCATAGCCAGGATACTATCCCAATGGCTCCGCAAAAACGGCCACAAATATCGATACGGCAGCCATTTCTGGGGGTAGAGGCTGATCAACATATCCTTGACACTGGATGAAGGTGCCTCAAGGATAACACCAGCAATAGAAGCTGGGGCTTGAGGTTTTGCAGTGTGCGACCGAGGAAGATACGTTGCGAGACCGGTAGTTGCGATCGCTGTTCCCAAACTATGGCCCCACAGAATGACCTGCAAATCTGTGTCCGGGGCTACATATGTCTCCTTAACCCAATCAAGAAAGGCCTGAGTATCGAGCTCAATACCTTGCTGAGTAGGACGACCAGATGATGTCCAGAAGCCACGATACGAGAGAGCAACCATCGCGTAGTCTTTCTCCTCAGATGCTGAAGCAGCAGATTTTGGAGAGGCGTGCATTGCGCGCAAGAACTGCGATAGAAGGGGCAATCTCATGGGGGTGGAGCCGCCGTTGCCTTGGAAGTAGCAAATCACCACTAATTTCTTCTTACAGTGATTTCTCGACTCCTGAATGCTTCCAGGCGAGGTGGCTTTGACGGGAATGCGGCCTTCGCATATTGCTAGTTTGGTACCATCGCGACTCCGGATTTGGTGTGTTTGCCAGCACACTGGCTTACATTGACCCTCGTAGTCTGAGACCGTTTCAGATCGTGCAAATGGTGGCAGCCAGGTGAGATAGAGAAGCTTCTCTTGCATCACTACAATCCAGAAGCATTTCCAAGTCCATAGAGAAAGAAGCAGTCCCGTGAATATGACGGGAGGAATCAGGATTGGTGGTATAGATTCGGTAAAAAGGGTACGTAATTGAGGACAGCTACTTGAGTGTAGGGGTTGGTACATATGATGGTAGGGTGTAGGTCGTCTTCGTGTTGTCCGAACAACAGTGTAGACATTTTGGGACGGGATGTGATTCTGGAACCACACCGATGGGGGTCGGGGGGTCCTAGCTTTTCTGATAATAGATGGCGGACCGCCAAGACCAGGAGATACGCGTTGGGCGCAATGCCAGATGCGTCTGGTCGGCATGAAAGGTTGGGTTGGATGCGAGACAGGAAAAGAGATATAGCGTCGGGGAAGACAGACAATGGAGGAGTCAAGAGGAAGATTGGATTTGAGACGGACAAAGTTGTGCATTGACATGGATGACTCAGCATTACACAAGACAGGGTTAGTTAAATTCATAATGGCTTCCTACAATGGTAGAGTTCTACGCTCCTGTGCTTGGTCTCTACTGTCCTAAAATTTATATATCGAGAAAACAATAGAGGGTTCATTTTATCTGTATTTTAGGCTTTGTGAAGCACCCGACTGGTGGAGTTCCAGTATCATCGAAGCCGATTCAATCAAATTTGGCACAGTTTCGAGTTGCATAACAAAAGAAAAGAAAAGCAAAGGGATAGAGAGACGAGTTCCTAGTTATACTAGACAGGACTGACACCCTTAATAGGATGCATCATACTTCCGCGAGCAAGCGCAATCAGCATATCCTGCCGAATGATGCGCAATTGCTTTCGTCTTCTGAACGATATGTCTGCAGCAGTAGCCTTTTCCCGGGGTTTCATTTCAGAAGAGGTCCTATCCGAGTCCTCCGTGGAATCTTCATCCTCAAGGTTCTCCAATTCAAGAATGTTCCCCGGGAAGAAGTCTGGGGGGAGGGCCTCTCCTGGGAAACACACTCTCCGCATGGCCTCCTCCGGGAACAATCCTCTAGGGAACACCTCTCCTGGGATGTCCCTGTCGCGGCAACCTTCCGTGTCCAATTGTGGCACAGATACACCCCGAACGTATCCAACAGTAAGACGCACCATCATCCACCAAAGCTGAAATTCAGTCTTGAATTGGTCAAACTTCCAGAGGCTGTATTCTGGAAAAGAGTACAAGGCATCCCAGAACCGCCCTTGGTCTCCACAGAGTTCGATGTCCCGGTGGTACTTTAGAAGCCATTCGTTGACTTCAGCTGACACCCATGCCTCAACAAGACGGGCAGGACGGAGGATCATAACCCCAGGAAGTGACTTGGGGTATCTTCCACAGGTGTATTTCTCACCTTCCTTGTCACAGACACACTCAGTAGAATCGACCTTGTCATTATCGCGACACGCCCGACGATGCTCCTCGCACGCGAAGGGCAGCCGTTCATCACTTGCCAAGAGATAGTCTAGATCATCGGGTTCAGGCGGGCTAACGGGTATGCTAGAAAGCCGAGGCAGCCACTTTTCCTTTTTGTAGAGACTGATATGCCCAATTTCAGGGTGCTTTCCCCCATCCTGGAATCTCTCAATGTGGAATAGGCCATTGGGCTTTGGGACCCTGAACCGGAAGCTGGGTTGCGAATAACAGCAGGTACCTTCGTTCTTTACATTGACGTGACAGCCCTGCTGTCTCTAGGGCCTCTCGCGCCTTTTTGAGATAATTGCCGTCAATGGCAAAACTGACAGTCTTAACGTCAAATTAGTATGGTTATCCATTCGAGAGATCCAAAATGACTTACCTCAATTCCACCACGGATCCCGATAACTCGATGATACGCCGGACCGATTAAGATGCAAGGTACGTTACTGTCCTTGAGCAGCTTAGCTACTTCAGCAATGAACTTGGGTTCGTTGCCCACCTCCCACTGAGGAAGTTGAGGCTTGTCTGTATGTGCGCTTGTTGCCATTTTTGAAGAAGTAGACCCTCATACAGTTGAAGATGCACAATTCCAAAATGAGAACAACAGCGAATCTAGGGTCTTTTATAGACTTTGAAAGAAAGAAAGTCAGGATAACTCCGTGGTCACTTAATCAATATCCAGTCCTGATCGAGGCAGTAGCTGAATGTTCCGGCGGGTTGTTAGGTTGATCTACCAGGGTTACCCGGGAAGCTCTGATCTGGCTCTACTGTAGTCGAAGAAGGGCCATATTATTGCTAGACAGACACCAAGCAACTCGGGATGTTCTTTCTTCAGCAAAGCTGCCTTTCTCAATGACCAACTGGGTATTGTTAGTTCATTTATTAGACAACATATAAGGACAAAGCTGTCTATGAGGTCTGGATAACCATTTACTCATCTAAGAGGGAGTAGTTTCTATCCCGAACAGATCTTTCTATTACTGTTCTACAAAGATCCCAGTCTTTCGAGTAATCGAATATGATGACCATAGACCGACATGGGGAGCGTGGAATAATGCCTCATATGGGGAAAACAAACAGTTGTACTGGATCATTTTCCTCCGACACAGTGAGTATGTACCTGGCTAGCACTACGGAAGCCATCCGAACAATGCTAGCGATGAAGGGTATGAATACAGAACATCAGCCTGAAAATCCACAGACTGGCAAATACCAAGATGACTTGTAACACCTTTCAGTGCCAAGTGAGGCATCTTCTCTTATATATCTAGCACAGTTGCTTGGGTTGGTATTAGGTCTGTCTTGACAATACCCCTCTATTCAATGCGACACAGGCCTTCGTAGTAGCTTAGTTCCCAGATAGCCGCCTATTTATGAACTAACTCTAAATTGATAAAAGCCGACATATCCAAGTCTTCGACTAAATGTTCCGTTTGGTCAGATAATCGTCGATAAAAATCAAGCAAGATTTATTCACCCAGCAAAAGATGCGTTCTTTTTATGTGTCAAGCGTTATGACGTCAAAATGGCACAGCAGAGCGGATACTGCGGGTATGGCGGGAGGGACCCGATTAGCAGGTGCCTTGTTTATCGGGTGTCTTTCGCATTTTGGCTGGTGGAGAGGAAAGGAAAGAAAGCGGGGAAGACGTCGATCATCCGTTGGACCGTGGAGCAGCATTCCTTTACAAGCAGCCACATACCACCTTCATTAGGGAATTCGCAATACCAATAACCGTCCAACTTGAATTAGGTCTCCTGGGAGCCCGCCTGAAGTCTTCAATTGCCCGTTCACCCATTGCTGTCATTATGGACCGAAGGCCACCATTCCCATCTACCTACTCATGGACAAAAGCACCAGTGATAGCACAAGCTCCTATGCTCAACATCGCCGGCCCAGAGCTAGCCACCGCCGTATCCGCAGCTGGTGGGATAGGATTCATTGCTGGTGGAAATGACGTGTCGAACTTAGAAGGCAAGTTGCAGAAAGCCGAACAGCTCGTGAGAGAGTATAAGGCAGCGGAAGGCTCTCCCGACCAGAACCGTCTCCAGCTATATGACGGCTCGAACTTACCGGTCGGTGTCGGGTTCCTGAGCTGGGGAGCCGACCTCAAGATGGCATTGCCACTTATCATCCGATATCGTCCATGTGCTGTGTGGCTGTTTGCGCCACCTAACAGTGCTGCAGATCAGGTTCCTTGGGTGGAGGGGATCCGGACCCAAACTGGCGGCAGTGTGACTATTTGGGTACAGGTGGGAAGCGTGGAGGATGCAATTGACGCTGTAGTCAAGCTGCAGCCCGACGTGCTCGTCGTGCAGGGCAGTGATGGCGGGGGTCACGGATTGCAGCACTCTGCTAGTATCGTGTCTTTGCTTCCAGAAATCATTGATCATCTGGATGCCAAGCCTCCAGTCAATGCGAACGATTCATTGAAGCCAAAAATTGTTGCAGCAGGTGGTCTGGTAGATGGTCGAGGAGTGGCCGCCGCCCTCACCTTAGGTGCTGAGGCGGTAGTGATGGGGACTCGGTTCCTGGCTTCTCTGGAAGTTCCCATACCGAAAGGATACCAGCAATCTATCATCGAAGCTAGTGATGGAGGGATCCATACTATTCGCTCCGCTGTCTATGACCGGGTACGTGGGTTCCTGTCCTGGCCACCAAAGTATTCTCCCCGAGGAATTGTGAACCAAACGCACACAGACTTTGTGGCCGGTAAGGTAACCGAGCAGCAAAATTACGAACTGTACCAACAGGCTCTGAAGAAGGGGAACCCAGGTTATGGACCCAATGGGCGACTAGCTACGTTTGCAGGCACTGCAGTTGGCTTGGTGAAAGAAATTTTACCGGCAGGGGAGATAGTTCGGAGGACTAGGAAGGAGACGGAATCTATTTTGAAGATAGATAGGCTTGCAAAGCTGTAGGAAATACTATCACATACAGACTTCTGGGTAATGGTACCATCTTTGTGCCATTGGAAGAGTGCAACAGGCTACATACGATGCCAATATCGCGTAACCAATACTGGCTTGGCCCTCAACCTAAATTTCCAGAGAAATACTATACTTACAACCTCCCCGATCAGAATAATATTGTTTGGTACGACTGCCGCATGAAGAATGTGCGAAATCAAGGGCCTACAGAATTCAGCAATGGGGTATTTCATGTCTAATATGTACGTTGTCATCCTGATTTACGGAGGGTGATATTCAAGACTGATTAGTGATTTTATACTCTTCTTCTATTGGCGAGTATTATCAAATTATAAAGTGATGCTCGGCCAAGCAATAAGATGGAAGATAAGCATTGAATTGAAATGGCCCGCCAAGAAAGCTAAGGGTAGTTCATTGCGCAAGCGCTTCCTTAGCTATACTGCTGTTGTTGAGAAGAAATGTCGAGACTACACTATTGGGTCTTCTTTATTTTTTATTGTGACGTGCACCCTAATATCCAGCTCCCACAAACCCCTGGCTCTCTGCAATTTGCATAGCGGATAAAAATTCCGCTAGAGGCAGGGTAGAATGCGCTCGGACACTTGATCAGGTCAATAAAGGTGGAGAATTGTGGAACAAGGGCACAGACCAACGGAAGTGCCTGAGGGCATTTCTGGTCGGACATGGGCTGGTAAGATGCCTTCCAGCTGCGAGACAACACCTCGGTTCAGCCGTCGGAGCGACCGTAGACTAAATGCACCGGCAAGGATTAGATTTTGCGCTTTGCTTTTGTGTGCCGCGTACACCCTGCAGTCAATATGCTTGGTGCAGGGCCGGATGGCGGGCCGTTTCTTGCTAGGGCACCCACTAATGTGAAGCTAAGTTGACTCCCAGGATGTTGATAAGGTGAGGGGAACTCGGCTACCTTGATTTTCCTGCGCCGTATCTTTTGAGAAATTTCTCTTCCGATCGCGCTGTTGTTTTTCTTTCCTAGTGCTCCCATCTGTAATTTTCCTGGCTTCAGGCTCCCCTAAGGGTGCAGCATGGTCTTCGCACACAACACCCAGCAGGATGCTGCCAAGGATCCCGTCGTTGCTGACTCGCACACCCTAGAAGCCGATGCATCTAGTCAGGAGAATGATATCAAAGGCACACGCTACGATGTGACTGAAATGGATCGGATGGGTAAGACCCAGCAATTCAAGGTTAATATTCGGCGCCCAGGTAATCGCACCCGACTAATGTATAGGATCGCAGCGAAACATCCAGTCTTTTGCAGCCCTCAGCTTTTCGGCCGTATTGCAGTCTACGTGGGAATACATCATGCTGTAAGGCGACCGGTAATCTCGTATTCCGCTCAGGATCTAAGTGTTAGCAGGTCGGACTATGAAGGGTTACAAGATGGCGGGTTGGCAGGGATGCTGTGGACCTACGTCTGGAGTGCCATTGGATTTGGGTTCATCATTGTCTCTATATCTGAGATGGCCTCAATGTACGTTGCCTCGCCTGCAAACGTACGATCACATCAGCTAACCGTTTAGGGCGCCTACATCTGGAGGCCAGTACCACTGGGTCTCCGAGTTCGCATCCCCACGCTACCAGAAATTTCTCAGCTACTTGACCGGCTGGATGTCTGTCCTGGCATGGCAGGCAGGAACCGCATCGGGCTCGTTCCTGACTGGAACCATCATCCAGGGCCTGATTAGCGTCCGTGACCCCGACTACGACCCCACTGGATGGCAAGGCACATTGTTTGTCTTTGCGATGATTCTGATTGCGTTCTTCTTCAACATATACGGTGCGGCATTCATGGCTCGGATGCAAAATGTGCTTTTGGCAACTCACATTTTTTGCTGGTTGGTCGTGGTGGTGACGCTTTGGGCTCTGGCTCCACTACAGCCCGCCGAAGCAGTGTTCACAAAGTTCGAAAACTTCGGTGGATGGTCATCTATGGGTCTTACTGTAATGGTTGGCCAGCTTGCCGCCATCTATGGCTGTCTCAGTAGGTATACTTGCAACCAGCTCAGAGATTAGCACTGACGAGTACAGGCTGCGACGCAACAGCCCACATGTCGGAGGAAATCAAAGACGCTGGCAGATACGTGCCCATTGCCATCACCTGGTCTTACTTCGCCAACGCCATCCTAGCACTAGTTGTGCTTATCACGATGCTCTTCGCAACTCCATCCGTCGAAGACTCACTCAACGACGACACCGGCTTCCCCTTCATTTACGTCTTCAAACAAGCCACCAACACAGCAGGCGTCAACGGCCTAACAGCCATCATCCTCATTCCAGTCATTATAAGCAATATCCTCTTCAACGCATCAACGGCACGACAGACCTTCTCCTTCGCTCGCGACCGTGGACTCCCATTCTCCAACTGGATCGCCAAAGTCGATGAAAAACGCAAGCTACCAGTCAATTCGATCATCCTCAGCTGCATCATCAGCGCGCTGCTGGCCCTGATCAATATCGGCTCAGAGACCGCCTTTAACGCCATCGTCTCCCTCAACGTAGCGGCTCTCATGTTCTCCTACTCTATATCAATGAGTTGCTTGATATGGAGAAAGCTTTTCCACCCGCATACGCTGCCCCCTGCGCGCTGGGGACTGGGACGATACGGTCTGACGGTCAACGTCATTGGCTGGTTATATGTACTGTTTGCCCTGTTCTGGTCGTTTTGGCCCGAGTCGACACCTGTCACGACTGAGACGTTCAATTGGAGTGTTGTGATTTTTGTGGCGGTATTTTTAGTGAGCCTTGTTATGTATGTGTTCCAGGGGAGACATCAATATGATGGGCCGGTGACGGAGGTGAAGAGATGTGGAGACTTATAGATGTCTAAGACTTATATAGAGGTGACGCAAGTTGTAAACTAAATACTATGATACAATGGTTCCTGGAAGTATGGAAAGAGACACATCTAAGTACTAAGGAGATATGAAGTAGGAGGCTTTTGTACGCCCGATCGGCTGGCCTTTTAATGAGCCTCTGTAGAAGATGATATATGAACCCCCAATAGCAGCCCCAACCACTGCATTGTAAATTGCTTCAACAGACCAGATGGAGATGTACTTATCAGTCATCAGAGGCAGTATCCGTCCACGATCGTCGGGTACAAGCTCGGGACGACTGAAAACCAGATTTTTACCACATGGACCAGGAATTCTGGCTCAGTTTGGCATAGGTACATATGATTTTCAAGTACAGTCTTTTGGTCCCAAGCGCCAGCGGCCAAATCTTCCAATGAGAACTTTTCGGGTTCTTAGTCCAGTGACAGTGAAGACATGCCACTCGGGCCGCCTTTTCCGTCTTCTTGGGCCGTGGCTTTTGCGCCAGGGAGGATCCATTCTAAAAGGGTGGCCTAAATGATGCAATACGGATGCTTACCAAATAGACCTCATGCATCGAGCCAGCGTGGTACTAGACGCCAGGAGGGCCAATCCTTGCATTAATTGGAGCATGCACTTTATTGATTTGGGAAATACCACTTTTCAGGTGGACCATTATGTGCAGATCCAAAGTGTGCGTCCCGATACAGCAAATCTATGACGAGGGCATGTCTTAGGAGGAAATTGCCGCGCCCCCCCTTATTTTACACAGGCGCCCTACATGGTCCCGGGAAACAAAGACAATAGACTAGACCAAGGACATACCTCTTAGAAGACGAGGCGAAAAGTAATAACAAGGTTAGATCATTCTGGTAAAAAAAACGAGAAATAATCAGTGCCATGCGAACTTCCAGCCCTACCGGTCGGAAGAGAAGCTATCATTTTTCAATTCCTGGTAAGATAGAAATACAACACCCCGGAATTGTCTTGGTTTAAGGACCACTGAGCACCAGCAATAGTGTTGTTATCGACATACCGAAGATAATCGACCACAGGGCAATCGCCATAGATCATGGCAGCAGAGCTAATACCTCGGTAGGTCATTTCGGCCAACTCCAGTCATACATTAGTAGCTCCAACATTATGATGCCAAGAAGCGAACATGATTTTATACGAAAAACCTACAAACAAGTTTCCCCACCCAGGGAGATGCTTCTTTTCCCCACCCACTAACGAGTATTTATCCACAGACGTACGGGAGCGGAAAACTTTGAAGATGGGTAGCAATGCTGCTGCCTTTGGATCCGAAGGATGGCCAGTTGCCAACAAATGGGCTTCCCATTCGCCAAAGATAAACTCGATGCTTACGGCTGGAAGAAGGTCGAAGACATTCTGCACTTCTGATGGTTCCACGCGGGCTTTGCGCTTGGTCAAGGAAAGAAAGGTTCCACCTGCGGGCCTGTTGATCGCGCACATTAGACTCGTCATTTGACATATTTCATGAAGCCAGACAATAAAACGATAACTTACGTTTGTGTCATAGTAGACATCTACGTGGCTAGAAAGGGAATGGTAAAATGTATATTTTCCTGTTGTATACGAACTGCTTGCAGGCAAGTGTCAATGAAGCTAAGAAACCTTCAATAAGATGATCAGAACAGAGAGCGTGTGAGGCCTTCTATGTACTACTAGAAGAAGTACCTGCCACACCCCACGCCGAACTTTTGTCTGAACACAAATGGGGTACAGCATACCCCTCGCAATCGAGGAGTAGATGCATACTGTACCACCGAGAACTGCAGTCCGCGGCAGCTCTCGCTTTCGGTCAGGGAAAAATTACCGATTGAGCTGCATGTCAGGAAGGCCAACATACTATAGTGCCCAATGAGAGTGGCGATCTGGTAACCTACCTGAGTGCACATATCTAATGTGGAGACCTGATGGTCATGCGCACAATGTTCACCCCAAACGTGAAAGGCTGCATCGCTCACTGATCACATCTGCAGATTACAATTCCGACAGTTCATTGAGGAGCCTTGGTTTGTTCACCAGCTGTTACCTCATCACGGGCACTACTACTTCTTTTTATGGTATTGATGTGAGGTTCTCCAGCAACTCCTACAAATAGGAACAATGTGCAAGGGCAATAGGCTCGGCATTCAGGGCTCCACTGATAAAGCTAGGGAACCTTTCCCCTAGGAACACCACCATCTGCATATGAGCCTTCGCTCAAATAGCTAAACATCGTCTAGAACTTGTCCTTACGAAGTCAACCCTCCAATTTGACTTTTACTGGGGTATACAGAAACTGACGAGACAAAAATCACACAAAAACCTGTTTCCTTGTTCCATCATTAGGCGCTATACGTGGATTCTTATTTAGGCAGGCGGTAGGTGTAGAAGGTATATAAAGACCTTCTATTGATGCCCTTGCCTGGTACCTCGTAGCACAAGAAGCATTCTTCCGTAGCGGTTGTTTTGCAAAATCTCAATTAGCACAATGCAGTCCCACCATTCATTCAACTCGTCCACGCTTAGCCTCCTCTCCTCAAAACTCTTCGAGCATCATTATGAGGATGGTCCTCGTATCGAAGAGCTAGAAAGATCATATCACCGAGCCAAAGCAATCGGTCAACTGCATGGTCAGTACATTGCATGGCCGTAACAGTAGGTCTAACAACACCAGGCGTGACCCTCGAGGATTGCCTTCATATGACCCCCAAGTTCTGGGCCGTCCACAAAGATGGAATTATTGTTCGAGATGCCGTTGCCCACATATTGGTAACGATTCAACTTAATCTGGTGGCCGGTACAGTGGCACCTTTTGCCCTCAAGAGACCCGATCTCCATCCGCTAATGAAAGAGATATTGAACTTTGATATCTCGTAAGTACTTTCTCATGAGAAATTTTGCAAAACCATTGACACTGAATAGTGCACCATTCATGCTGAATGAAGTCGGCCATGGCTGCGATTCCCGGAATCTGGAGACCACGGCAACCTTGCAGCGTGATGGCAGCTTCATCCTCAATACGCCTACACCTGAGGCAGTAAAGTACTAGTGACACAAAATCCATTCCCAACCTTACAAAATGCTGATAATATACAGGTTTATGCCACCATCAATGCCAATAAAGGGCATTCGGCGAGTTGCCATTGTGTGTGCACGGTTGATAGTTGACGAAGAGGACCGTGGTATCCGGACCTTTGTCGTCCCGTTAAACAATGGAATGGAGATGAACAAGGGTGTTCATTCATGGTAGGTATTGGTATCATCTCATGTAACATACTATGGCTTAAGCACCCCGATTCAGGCTTCTCCCCCCAATCACTGGAGGCAGGGTTCTCGACCATAGCTTGACCTCTTTCGACAATGTCCATCTTCCAGCGAATGCAATGTTGGGTGAACTCGCGATGCCTGCCGACCTGCGCGCCCAGTATCTATCAGCCATACACCGTCTGGGCACCGGAGCCCTTGCTTTAAGCTTGTGGATCATTCCCTTTCTGAAGTGCGCCGCATACTGCGTCGGCAAATACAGCCAACGCCGGACTGTCCAAGCAGGTGTGCACGGGGAACGCGTCCCTATTATTTCGTTCAGAACACAGCATCTCCCAATCTTGCACTCCCTTGCGCAGATTGCTGTCATGGAACCGTTTAGCGACTGGCTTACACACCTCTACAGCACAGACAACTCACTTCACCCTGGAGCGAAACATGGTCTGGGGGTCATCATCAAGGCGGTTTTCTTACAGAATGGGCAATGGAGTCTAGCAAACCTTATTGAGCGAAGTGGTGCACAAGGAGTGTACCCACATAACCAGATGGCCACGTTTGAGGTGAGTTGAATGACCGCTTCACGTCAAGTCTGAATAATAACTCACATTGTAGGTTTTCACCCGGGCTACCGGTATTGCAGAGGGAGAGGTTTTGGTTCTCTCAATCCGTGTGTATCCCTATCCTTGCTTCCCCGAGAATGAAACATCTCACTGACATCTAACATGCCTTGCCACGGAGCTTTTACTTGGTCGATATGCTATTCCCGGGCCTACAAAGCCTGATTGTCTACTTGCACAGCATGAGGCTGGCATCTTTTCCGACCTGCGGAGAAAGCTGAAGAAGATCGGCAAACACCGTAGTGATGAGTACAGCAAGCAAGTGCTTCCGCATCTCCGACCTATGATCATAGCGATCGGACAACGCATGGCGTATGAGGCTGCAGTTGACGCATCCATTGACCCTGATTTGCTGGCTCTATACGAGGCGGGAGCTATGAAATCAGATCCTGCCTGGTTCTCAGAGTATCTCGGGATTAGTAGGGATGCCCAGTTCCAGAAGGAGTGTGACGCAGTGGATGCGGTTTATCGCCGTCTGGACGAGCATCTTGATAACTTGCACATTGAGCCCTACATCACGGCTCCAATGCTGTCCCCTGACCGGTGGATGGGAATCATCAAGGCGGTCCCGGAGTTTACAGGAAATGGAGAGATGAGCTTCCCAGGTGCTCAGGAGTTCCAATCGAAGCTTTAGAGTGTTTCTGTTTGACTTTGAGAATGATGCAATTAAACAGGCCGTTCCATATTAATCCAGGGTGAACTATGGCTTATTTAGCTATATGATTGTCTTCTAAAAAATGTATCGCGCAACGTACTGCTATTATAGTGCTATCCTAATTGTGGCACACATCGACACCCTTGACCACGCTTCTGCTTTGGGGAGTGGACTTGCGGGCCTCGAAAGAACGCCCTTTTCGAAATAGCACAAATCTAGTACAAATCGCTCCATTTCCTTGGAAGTCAGGTAATAAACTCAATTGCAACAATCCAGTGGTAGCGTTTCCGGGATCATATGCCGTTAGCCGACCCTCCAAGACTTCATGATCGACAGTAGAATACGAGGCGTGTTTTCCATGTATGGAAGGATCTGGAATTTCTGTTGAGATGACAATCACTACTCCGTACATCTTTGCGTGTATTGCAGAAACCCATAGACTATCCATACACCAATGTAACATTTCTTCACCCGGTTTGTATCACGGATCTCGAAATTGGTACCACCTTCCTCACGTCAGCCATACGTAAATATGGTCGATCAGTTCCTTAGATAGACATAATGGGTAAGGCTAAAGGCCATGTAGGAGGCCAATTCGCGGAATGTGGGGGCATGAGCACAATTCTTCAGAATCTCCTTGTTTCTTGGCACCGCATGGAAACATTACAGTTTAGTCTTGATTCATGCATCTTGCACATTAGTTGGCATGGCACTCAGAGTACTCAGATCAAAACAGATGTGTCCACAGACTATAGTAACCTGACACAAGGCTTTGTCTTCTTAAATTAGGAGGATACAAAACACTCGTTAAAATCCATCCCTTTTACCTAGAGTAGTAGCCCTCCTAAACATACCACAAAATGCCTCGCCTGAGTCGCCTCTCATACCCTCCGATCACCACCTCATTCATTCCCCCTTGAATAACCCCCAATCCCCTTCCGTCCAAGTAAGCTTCACCACCCAGTTCCTAAGTTTCCATAACTCATCACCGGCTACATCTTTCTCAACATCACAGTAGTACAAACCCCCACCCAACAATCTCGACGTATCATTCACTTTTCCCTCCCCGGGGCGATAATGCTGCGCGAGCGCTGATGCCGTAAGCTTGACCTTGCACTCATCTCCCTCGACCATGCTAACACGAATATTGCTGAGGATGTGGGTGGTATCCATCTTTGAGATATTGTCGTAGCAGTCTTTGTGGATATTGGGCAGACCACTCATGACGGTACCATGAAGGTCGAAGGTTGAATCAGGGAACAAGGCGGAGTCGAAGAGTCGGCTGTCGGCTGTATCGAGGCCGAGGATGGCACGATCAAGGGCATCGATGATATCTTCGCGGGTTTGGGGGTTAGGAGGGTTGTTGAGGGTAACAGGGATTGGTGTAGGCATGGACATCTTGGTTGTTGCTGTTTTTTAGTAGAAAATGTGATAATGACGAGTCTTTAGGAGATGGTCGGGGGTGAGATGGGAAGGCTATGTACATGAAGGAGCCGTGGACTTGAGGGTTTTTGTTATGCTGAATACGCACTCAATGTCTGAATGAATAATGGCATGAATATCTTGTAATTGATCGAAGGCCAAGAGAAACAAACTTTTATGAGATTATCGAGCATCGGTCAGGACTGTTAACTCCATGTTATGTCCGGAGCTCTATGCGGCCATCCCAAGCACCGTGTACGCATGAGATATGACGTTATGGTGGATTATGAGACTGGCACTCATTCCAAAGATACATTAAGCTTTGTCAGGGATTTGGCAACCCTGACTGGGTATTGAGAGGCTGCGCGCAAGGAAACAAAGCATTAGAGCTCGCCAATCAGAGCGCTTTACCTAGCATAGGTGGCTGCCAAATGAGATTAAATCGGTGTTTTCAATGCTTACATTACTAAGCTCAGAGATATTGCACTAGGCCATCTGATATTTGCTCTTCAATAAAGGGCTGTTCCGGAAATAGCCATCATTGCTGCATTTGATGGCCTTACCAGCAAGAGGCTCGACGGAAGGGCGCCGCGCGGGGCCGATAGAGCCTCGGAGATGGTCCGCTCTCCATAGTGAGGGGTAAGACTGACTGCTAGTCTAAGAAATAGTGAACTCCCGCTGATATCTCCATCCAAATTGCCATAAGAAACGCTATAACTCAGTCACTACTACCATTGCGTGTTCATATTTACCCACTTCTTCAATTGTTTCTCCAGAATGCTTCGATTAGACGGCAAAGTCGCGCTTATCACCGGCCTCGGCCAGACCACCGACGAGGGCTGGGGCATCGGCGCCGCCATCGCCATGAAGCTCTCCCAACAAGGCGCAATCATCTTCGGCGGCAACCGCTCATTATCCAGTGCTGAGCGAACCAAGACTCGGATTGAGGAAGAGGGCGGGAAATGCGAAGTCCAAGAAACAAACGTTACTGATTCCACCTCCGTCAAGGCTCTCGTCGATAGCTGCATGCAACGCCACGGGCGCATCGACATTCTAATCAACAACGTGGGGAAATCCGAACCAGGTGGTCCCGTTGAAATGAGCGAAGAAACGTGGGATCAACAAGTCGACCTGAATCTGAAGAGCGTTTATCTGACGAGTCATTACGTGCTTCCTATCATGGAGAAGCAGGAGACGGGCGGTACGGTAATCAATGTGTCGAGTATTGCCGGGCTGCGGTATATCGGGAAGCCGCAGGTTGCATATTCGGCTACGAAAGCAGCCATTATGCAGTTTACAAAGGCCACTGCGGTGATATATGCAGGGAAGGGAGTGAGGTTGAATACGGTTGTCCCGGGGTTAATTTATACGCCGTATACTCGGGAGCTTGCAAAGCGGTATGCGCCTGGGGGTGATGAGGCGGCATATATGAAGACGCGCGATGAGCAGGTGCCAATGGGGCGCATGGGGGATGCTTGGGATGTGGCTAATGCTACATTGTTTCTGGCGTCGGATGAGGCACGGTATATCACTGGGCAGGAGCTGGTGGTGGATGGTGGTATTACTTCTTCTACAGGGAGAGTGTAAATAGATATCATACTCCAAGTTCTTCATGTTTTTCATGTAGCAGGCTACTACAGCCCAAGCTGCACGCTGTATCCGTACGGGCTATGTTATGTCAGTTCGAAAAATACCTTCGATCTTTGCGTATAATTCAGTTGACTCGACACAATACTGTTACTATATACATTATATTTCCCCCATAAAACCTGCCAGTCCCGTCTGTTGTACGCTGTAATCAAATCGTATCCTGAGCAGCATGTCCCCGAAAGCTACGGAAGACATCCGCTGATGGTTCGAATAGCCGCGGGTCAGCTTCACCCAACCCAGAATACACGAGCAGGAGAATTTATAGCTAAATACCCTCGTTGTTCTCTTTATATCTCCAGATATTCCTGTAAGAACACATTTCTGTTTGTATTACTTTCAACTCCCAGTCTCTACCATAGACTTTTTCCACAATGACTCTAGTTCACATCGGTATGTCTACCCAATTATACAGAGTCTATGATCTTCAACTAACCCACTACCAACCAGTCCTCTTTAAGTTTCGTCCCGAAGTAAGCGAGGAGCACAAGCAACGCTTCGTGACAGAGCTCAAAAAGCTCAAGAACCTACCCTGTGTGAAATCCGGACGCCTCCTCGTGGGCGGTCCCAGCGTGACCGACCCCATAGACCGCAGCAAGGGATTCCAGATCGCTCTAGTAAGCTATCATGAGGACCTGGCCGCACTAGCAGAATACCAGGCTAGTAAGGAGCATCATGAGTAAGTAGATCAATACTATGTCCGCTGGTCGAGAATGCCGGGGCTAACCTTGATTATGGCAGTGTGACATCGACGTATATGTTTCCGTACAAGGAGGACCTGGTGAGATTTGACTTTGAGGTTGATGAGGAGGATGAGTATATGTGTGATTTTCCTGTGTTGGGTTAGGGATGAATATTTTCGCAAATGGATGTTGAGGAGTTAAATATATATCTTGACAGGGCATGGTTTTAAGTTATAGGAACACAACTTCGATGATGATAATACTAAAGCCATTATTTGTGAACAGGACATCTCTTATATAACGCTCACAATAATGCTTCTTAGATAAAAGGTTACTGTATGGAATGTATATTCCTTATCATCAGGAGCCGAGTCTACAGATCGACACATGTTGTCCGCCTGATATATGAGGCATTAAGGTTATATTCACATGACATGAGTAGCGGAGGGACTCCGTTCGGCGGTCGGACACTCCCCGCGCCACCCACATTGCCGTTTCCCCATAGCGTTGTGAAAGCAGGAGATGGAGCAATTTCTTCACCCATCAGCTTGCACCGGTTCGCCAATCAAATCAACTACAATCTAGCAATAACATATTACCTGTTGAACTAGCTGTACCCGGATTTACAGACCGCCAGAAAGGAAGGTCACGTGGCAAAGCGAGAAAGACGCGCGGCAACAACACCCCAGTCCAGTCCAGTCATCCAGTGATAGAGCACCTGTTATTCCAGATTCTTATGTCCCACTCGGGTGTCTATAAACCAACATGGACTCACCGCGCCGAAATCGGAATAGAGCGGCGTGTAGGCGATGCCAACGAAGAAAGATCCGCGTAAGTAGCCAGATCATCCGCCTGTTGATTCGCGCTCACCGTGTCCCGCTTTGCAGTGTGATGGAAACGAGCCATCATGTAGCTCGTGCCTGAAGGCAGGGGTATCATGTGTGAATGATGGAAAGCAGGAGGTCACGCGGAGGTATATCTCGAACATGGAGAACCGAATCCGATGGCTAGAGTCAATTGTAAAGGAAAACTGCGCCAACGTCGATCTAAGCCTCGAACCTCGCAATAATGCCCCAGAGAACGCAGTAGATCATGATAGCACGATTTTATCTGTCGAAATACAGCACGATGACGATCCTACCGCTACTATGCACCAATCTTCTCGGGAGTTTAGAAGAGAGGCTCCAGCCGTTTCGCGCAATGAAGAGAATACCTTCAATCCACTGTCGGAACACCATCCACAACTGCATGTACAGGGAAACAATTCTGGGCATCAACCGGCACATGAGATTGGACTGGTATCGTTGTCCTCTGGTGAAGGTCCTCGATACATTGGGCCATCCAGCGGGTATTTCTTTGCGAACCGTATATTCTCCAGCGCTGGGCGGCGATCTAAAGCCAGAGGCGTGAAAAAGGCCACGGCAGAGTCAACTAGCCTTTCAACTGAACTACTAAGTAACCTTACCCTGTTGCCTACTCGAAAGGAAAGCGCCATGGAACTGTCCGGGAAATACTTCCGTACGGTACATCTTATCTACCCGTTCCTGCATGAGCCGACCCACATGTCTGTGATTGAGCGGTATATGCATCCCACAACGAGAACCCTCTGGACTTGTTTCAGGTTTACATGGTGCTATCAATATCAGCCCTATATTTATCTCGTGAATGTAAGGTGCATCTTCCCGTGGAGGGATACTATGCGTCAGCGATGAAGTATGTCGAACAGGTCTGCTCATATGACTCGGTAACTGCTCTGCAATGCATGCTACTTCTTATGGTTTATGCGTTGCATAACCCCTCTACCAATGTCAACATATGGAACCTGAACTACCAGTGTCTTGCTAGTGTGATAGATTTAGGGTTACAACGCGACGTCCGCGCATCTCCATCTCTTGGAATATCGTTGCTTGATCAGGAGATACGAACCCGTATCTTTTGGGTGGTATATACGCTCGATAGAGCCATTTGCACCATGATGGGGCGTCCTATAGGTATCAGAGATGAGGCTTGTGAGATGAGGGTAAGATAAATGCTCTATAGCGCGGGAAGGGATACTAATCTGGTCACAGTTCCCTCTGGACATACCAGACACGGACCTTGTCAATCCTGTCCCCAACCGCAATGAATCACAAGAGTCACCGTCACACATGTCGCACTCGATCCATCTCTTCAAATTAGCCAAGATGAACTCGGAGATAAAATATGTCATGCACAGCATTCAACGTGACGTACCGAGCTATGCCTATCCCCCGGTGCGGGATATCTTCACGTGGCAGCGTGATATGATAGAAACACTCAAAGACTGGAAATCGACAATCCCGCAAGAATCAACTAGTGGAGGAGACGTGATGGCCAAGCTCTGTAAGACCAGATATCACGAAACAATGGTATTGCTACTGCGGCCAAGCCCTGCGATTCCAAACCCATCGGAAGAGATGCTCGATCTGTGTTTTCATCAGGCAGTAGATCTCCTGCAAACGTTTGGTGATATGTACAGAACAGGAAGCTTGCTTTACAGCCGACTACTTGTTCACTCTGTATTCCTTGGGGCGCTTGTATTACTCTACTGTATCTGGAAACTACAGAGTACTACAGCGAAGGTGCGCGTCGATGAACTCATGTCAAGTCTCACCATGGCACAGAACATACTTAGTAGCATCGGGGAGCACTGGGGCGAGGCTACTCGGGCGCGGGATTGCATTGACGAGCTATCCCGTGTTACAATAAAACGGCTTCTGAAAAACCAATCGACTGTCGAATTGCACACTGAAGCCGACAGAACGCAGTCGCGGGCTGGAGGCATGCAGAGCTCGTTATCTGCGCAACACCATCAATTGGCAGAATATAATGGCATTCCCGAGGGGTACGGCCACTCTGATCAAATCCCCCGGGCAATAGCTCTTCCTCAGGAATACCAGCCGGAAGATACGTCTTACCACTTCAATCTGTTCGATGATCTCCTGCAGGGCGACTTTCAAGGCTGGAGTGGAATGCCTGACATCGATGGGCTGATGTGGGAGGTCTTCAACAGCTCACCACAGTGAGAAAGCAAAAGATGCCGATTGAAACAGACGAAGAAGCATTTTCAAGCATGCGGTAACAAGCATACTCGTCAGAGGCTTACACCATTCCGACGAAAACGCCCCGGAAAATATTCCTAGTGACCTAAAAGTCAGGCAAAATTGACCCATCAATATGAGGTGCATTCGGGCCTTTGATCGAGTCGTACGTCCAATCGGGGCCCATCCGTCACGCTTCGGAAGTGCACCGTGTGGGGCGACGGCCAACCCCGATACTCTCCGAAACAAGCTCCCCTCATAAAAGCATCGCATCCTCAACCTCAACCTGAAACCCAATAACAACAAAACCTCTCTAATCATTCTTAATTAAATAACAATCACAATCACCAAAATGTCCGACCCCCAACACCAAATCCGTCACATCAACCCCACCCACCTGGAAACATTCATCCAGTCCATCCTGACCAAAAACGGCGTCTCCACCGACCACGCCAAGATCATATCATCATGCCTCGTGCAAGCCGATCTCCGCGGCGTAGACACGCACGGCTCCAACCGCATCCCATCATACATGCAACGGATCCGCCAAAATGTCCTTTCACCCAGTGCCACCCCCACTCTCACCGAGAAAACCCCCGTTGTCGCGCAAGTAGACGGCCATAACGCCTTCGGGTTCGTATCCGCACACATGGGCATGCAACGGGCTATCGAAATGGCCAAAGTATACGGCATCGGCCTCGTATCTATCAAGCACTCGAACCACTTCGGTATGTCCGCATGGATAGTCCAGCAGGCCCTGGACGCAGGGATGATGTCCCTCGTATTCACGAATTCCTCGCCCGCCCTGCCCGTCTGGGGCGGTAGATCCAAGCTCATGGGCGTGTCTCCGATCGCATGCGGTGCTCCGGCTGGATCGACTCCGCCGTTTATTCTGGACATGGCGCCGTCAATCGCCGCCCGAGGAAAGATCTACAAGGCGCTTCGGCGCGGGGAGAAAATCCCTACTGACTGGGCGCTTGATGGCGAGGGAAATATGACAGATGATCCGGCCAAGGCGCTTCAAGGTGTGATGCTTCCCATGGGTGGGCCGAAGGGGTCTGCGCTGGCGATTATGATGGATGTGTTTTCGGGAGTGTTGTCCGGGTCTGCGTTCGCTGGGGGTGTTACGGGGCCTTATGATCCGTCTAAGCCGGCGGATGTGGGTCATTTCTTGGTGGCTATTAAGCCAGATTTGTTTATGGATTTGGAGGAGTTTAAGGAGAGGATGGACTATCTGTATCAGAAGGTAGTGGAGAGTGATAAGATGGCTGAAGTGGAGAGGATTTATTATCCTGGAGAGATTGAGCAGATTACAAGGGAGACGAGATTGAAGGAGGGTATTCCGTTTACGGAGGCGGAGATTGAGGCGCTGAATAGGGAGGCGGAGATGGTTGGGGCGGAGAAGTTGAGGGTTGATTAAGTTCATTTGGACAAGTCGAGTTTTGATGATAAGATGAGTAATTGTTGAGTGCAGGGTTGGAGCTTCAGTGCAAATATGTTACTACTGTACATTGAAATGCTACCTTATAGATGGAAGTCAAATTGCTGAAATCGGTGAACCCGCCAGTGTGGCTCAGGGTCGGTATTCACTCTTGTTGGGAGTTGGAGAACCGGTCTGGTTCCACAAAACCACACAGGTTCTGGCAATACAATCTGTAGACCCTTAGCCCATTCTCACTAGATACAGTAAGGATCTTACTTGCTATAATCTGGGACTACCACCTGGATTGTAGCGCGCTGTCTCTTCCCATATGGAACGTGAGCGAAATCTGATCGGCTTTGGTGGCGGTAGCGGCTTTGTAGACCTGATGGAACACTCGAACTGAATCCTGTGCGTGTCCGAAGATGCTAGTTCGGCTTTGAAGAATGTGTCTGAACCCCCTATTGATTGCTTGGATGGTTCTGAATTGCTATCCACCATCTCGAAGCTCGCTATCTTTTTTTCTCCGATGAGATCATAGGGCAAATTGTCATCGTCGCCATTGGTTGTGTTCGCTTGGATGAAAGGGGGCTGCGTTTGGCGTTCAGCTTTCTGCAGATAATTCAATTTCTCCAATGCCATATCTAATTTCGTCTCGAGGGCCTCAGCCGATCGCTGCCAAGTATCTAGCAAAGCAAGACGCTGCTCCATGGCTGCTAATCTCTTATCCACAGCCAGCAAAGTTGTCACGTAATTTTCCGGACTGGGAAGACCGTCCAAGACGGACGTCATCTCCTTTATTGAAGCCGTCATAACCCTGCTAACTTCATCCATAATCCTAAATTGACCCTGGGGGACATCGCTAACTGGGACCATCTTAAGAAACTCCGCCGCACAAACAGCCGCAGCCATGGCAGCGTAGCCCTGCCAGCGGTCGCTTTTATGCGAGTCAGCATAATTGTCGATGCCACGGATCGTCAGGGAACCTCTACTCAAACCCGCAGACTCCATGTCAAAACATAGTGCATTGAATGTGTTCCCCCAGTCGTTGCGCGTTTGAGCATTCTTGATAAGCTTATCCCCGGACGCGATGGTCCCCGAATGAACCTTGACCCCAGCATCCCCTGGTCGGGGCTCCCGAAGAACAAGGAGAGACGAATCATAAACCATCGTTTTCTCACAGTCGCAATGTTCACCATGAATATAATCCGATTCATAGAGACGATCCTCCAACTCCGGTCGTCGAAATAAATGCCGTAGCGGAACAGGCAAAAACCGCGCTTTATCCTCAACAAGATGCCCAATATCCAAGTCAAGTAGAGACTTATACTTGAAAGTATTCACCCGATTATGAAGAATAGCCGGCGGCCGGGGACAATGTCCCGTAGATTGGAACCCATGATGGGTCACTTTCCCGAATTCGTACGGGACAATCCTAGTCCCTATGACCACATCGCCCAGTCGCACATCTTCTTTTAACCCAGCCGTAGCGCCAGCGATTCCGACCATGAGTGAGAACCGGATTGAAGGGAAGGTAATTCGCAAGGTTGTTTCGACGGCGGATGCGGATACCACGCCTGGGGATTCGGCTGGGAGGCAGACTATCACCACATTATGGTTTCCGATCCGGCCCAGAGTGTACGCACGGCAATCCCCCTGCCCTAGTAAGACATGTGTAGTATCTGGGAAAGTCTCGTCTAGGACGTTGCAGGCGGCGATGTACTCGATCAAAAGACTGCAGATCCAGCCGATCGTGAAATTTTTGACGTCGAGGGAGGATGATCGGGCCATTGGGATAGCCTGTTGGGGAAAGGAATATATCGCTTGAAGGGGGCTAAGACTCTGTATATAGAGGATTCATTTGATTACATTGCTAGGTTTTATCAGCGGGCTTTAAAGTCCCGGGCTTGCATACTTAGCCTTGTGTATTCGGCTGTTCTTGGAGGAGGCGCCGTGCCACATCACAAAGCGATACGCCCGTCTAGCCGCTAATGCAGGATGAACAGATCTTGATAGGCGGAAGAAAGCCAGCTAAAAGGTAGTTACGCGCTGGCTACTGCGCACTGACAAAGGCCAATGGATCGGAGTTAGCGGGAGACGCGTCAGTGGTGGTTCTGCGATGCGATCGCTAATGACTTCAGATTGCCATGGGGTTAAACAAGGATAAATGTTATTCTGAAACGACGCTCTAGAATTGATTGAGACGATCAAAAGATACTTCATCTCTAGACTTTGCCAATCTAGCATAACGAAATAAAAACATATAATTACATCTAACATCACAATATGTGCAATCTATGGTAATTCAGGGATCCTCCCCCCCTGTCTCGAGCCGGCAGTACCGTTATGCGGCTTGTCCATCGTTAACACCATCTCCTCAAATGTTTACAAACCAGACGGAAAAATTACCGACGGATCATATACCGCGGGAGTACTGGTATCAAGCGTACCATTCCAGCAATAGCGCTGAAAGCACTGCTCACAGGCAGCAGGCACCGGTGTGTTCGTCCGGTCAAACGAACGACTAAGCACAGCACAACCCACACAGGTAGTCCACTCATTATCCAGGGTGCCATTAGCCTGAGTTGCAACATTGTAACCATTGGTTATCATAGCGTCACGGGCTGTGGTATTGAAAGTCGTATCTGTAGTCGTCGTGTTGGACATATAAGTGACAGGGTGGTTAGGCAAGTAGACAATCAACGGAGCGGGTGTAGTCATGTTCGAACTATTGCAGCCGAAGAAAGTAGGATGGCTAATAAGGCCCAAGTTGACAAAAGTGTTCCCATCTGGAATGGAAGGGAAGGAGGTATCGTTGGCGTAACCGGCAAGAGTACGCTCATAAGTAGCGATAAGCGACTCTCCAGTGGGCCATTTATATCCGGCGTCATTGTTGTTGGAATCTATGGCGAAGATAACATCCACGTCGCGCTTTCTCTGGATGAGTGGGTTAAGAGGAATATTCTCTTCATCTTCACCGCCGTCGACAACCGTCAGTCTTGTGGTCTCTGCAAAAGGTGAGGTGTTCGTGTTGTATCCATAGAAAGGATTGGGCTCGTAGGCGGCTGGGCCACTAGTGGCGGTGTTGTTGGAGCTGACAGCGCCCATAACTTCCTCGAGGATGTATGAGAGCAGTTCTACCTCCAAAGCGCCCTCGGTAGTGTTAGTTGAAACATCCCCTATCGCAGCACGTAGGGTTGCGGCAATGTCTGCGCCGTTTTCATTCCAAATGTCGCTGGACGTTCCGGTGATAAATCCAGCGCTGTCGAAGCCGCGCACACAGGTGTCATTTTCGGGCACCTGGCCGTTCACGAATCGGGTTCCCAAGTACTCAAGTGGTGCGAATCCATACATATTGTTGTCGTAAGTGCCAAATTCCCAGGGCGAGATTTCGTAGATGGGTTTGTCTTCACCGGGCTCGTCGTTAGCGTCCGCGAAGGACTGGCCGTCAACGACCACCAGTGGCAGTGGCATGTCTCCGTGCTGGAAAGCCTGTGTCTTTGTAATCGAGGACCAATGGATGTCAACGCCGCCATGGCTAGCGTTGAGGAAGTAGTAGCCTTCAGCACGACCCCTGCATTAGTTAGTATATACTCGTTGCTGTCCAAGTTGGGTTGATTGTTATATGAGTTTTGGCTTACCAAATATCTGCATCAGTGGTAGTAAAGCCGGCAGCCCTTTTGGCCTTCACCTGAGCTGTGATATTACCCCAGAAGTCGGTAGGCTCCATGGATGCAGGACCCTCGAGGATAGACGCTGAACTAAAGTCCCAGAACGTATCCTGAAGGGCGGAAATGGTCGTGAAGTTGTTCATGAACACTGAAGACAGCAACCAGGACCCCCCACTCAGAGCAGAAACATAGGTTGCAGATTGAAGTAGACCGCCCAACTGGCCCTGAGCAGCCGTACCCTCAGTGCGACTGTCGAAGGCTTTGAGGGCACCAGCACCATTCAACATTGCGCGCATACCACCACCGGATATAGCAATTGCGACATTGGGTAAGCTGGATGAGTCGCTTGTGTCGAGGTAATCCAAGGCGTCGAAGCAATCTATCTCAACATGGTCGAAGAATTCTTTGAGCCCTGATAGAGACTTTTCACGTCGGGTATCTAGCCAGGAGACTTCCTCGGGAGAGAGTGTTGCACCGCCACGAATGCTAGGCCGAGTTGCCGGACAGGAAACATGGACCGGAGCATAAGGGTTGGTGGCACTTGACGAGGCCCGCCGCTCGACGCTGGTGTCCGCTCGAGCTCGGCGATTATTTATTTGGGATGGAGCAGCAGATGTGGCTATAGGACGCAATGTTAATTAGTCACTTGAATCCAGTATCATCGTGATGTCGATAAATCGAGAGAAATGCGCAAAGGACTTACAAGGCAGAAATGCCAAGGCTACCGAGCCAAGTAGTGCAGAGGTCTTCATGATTACTGTGTGATAACCAAATGAGACCTTAATAGATGAATTGATAGTGTTAATTGAGGATGGAGAACAGCTCTGAATGTTCTTGGGCATGATCGATATTTAAGCTTCCCAGGTGCACCAAAAACCACAGCTACCCAAGGCTGAACTGATGTAAAGCTGAGCCCCATCCCACCGATCTGGTACACCCGTTTAGGAATGGCAATATAACCCATGGTGGGGATAACAATAACCCCAGGCCTAAAGGCCTCAAGACTCAAAGTGGATTTGGGGGCGGAGTGTCCCACACCAGCCGAGATTTAGACCTTAGAGGACGACAGCCGAGCACTTGGATGCTCTGACTCATGCGCGCTAACCCTAATAAGTAACAAGATCGGTGAAGATGAGCTTGATTGAATGCTAGATTCTGACTGATCCGTTTTTCAACATGATGAAGGGGCCAAATTGTCGGTATTAGCACTAAACCTAATCAGGCAACCAGCTCGGAGGCTGAGCGGTGAACAACGATCGGCGCGGGCCACGTTTGCTTCCTTTCTTCCTCATCGTTGAACACTCCTAGTCAACGCAGCCACCATTTGCAGAAATGCTGGAGCCCACGAGGGTAGAGCTACGTTTCTCATCTTTGACCAGTGTCTCGCCCAATTTGTTGCCGCACCAATAAGAAATACAGCTACATCCAACACTAGACGTTGCCATACGAGCATATCAAGCGGGGTGATATAACTCTGCTTTAGTGTGGGTCATGACCCATAAGTACAGTCTACAGCCGTCTGCATTTGGTCAAGTTCATCAGCGCTCGACCATTCAAATGCAGACACCGGATACGCCGCAGCGCCAGAGGCTGTGTGAGAGCTACGCGAACTGACCTATGATTAATCACTTTGGGTGGGGATATTGACATTGACATGGTTGGATTTGAGAAGAGTAGAAGCTGCAAAATGGTATCTGAATTCCGAATACAAACATAATCTATCGAGAAGTGAAAGAGAAACAGAGGGAAAGAGATGCCTGCGACGCCATAGAAACAGAAATCAAGATCTATTGACATAAGAAATCGGGGGAAGGCATCCGCTGCTAAGCCGCAATGCCAACCGAAGTCGGCTGGACGACATCAAGCTTTCCATAGTCCGTTTCATCTTTCAGTTCGCGGAGATGTCGGGTGCGGACACCAACGACCATTATGGCTACGGTCGCAAATAACTCCGGAAGAAACATGAGAACATCGCGTACAGACATTAGCCCATAGACCGGACTATGATCTTTGCACTCCGTGCAAACAGCAACAAGTGCGTAGATGACGCGGACACCAACAAATGCTAGTGCAACCAGCGCACCCTGAAGGAGCTACACAACGACATATCAGTCAACCCGATTACCCGAGAAGCATCTAGCAGAAATGGAATACTTACCGCAGTGCCGCCTCGATATCCTGGACCTTGAATACCCTTATCATGGAATTGCAGGGAATAAATCGACCACCCAATCTGGAAGATCCAAACTACAACGACTAGGGCTGATCCAGCCTTCCATAATGAATAATCGTCGGATTGTGCTTTGTCCTCGAAAATATCCAGACATGCCTTGATGGAGAGACTGATAGCTACCACCATGGTGACTGATGTCCCCACCACAACGGACCAATTGAGGCGTCGACTAGCATAAGGATAGCGATACGTTCGACTGTCGTTATTTTAGTCCCAGACCTAGCATATCTCGAGCCATAAACGTACGCTTCATGAACCAATCCGTCAACGCATAGAACTAGTGGCGTGACTCCCACGCTCTGGATTATGTTTGCTGTCATGCTGCTGGCGTCACGAACCCCTAGAGCACCTCCAATAACTCGAGCGGAACAGAACATGGCTAGGGAGTACCAGGCTAAGAACCCGGTCCATCGGTGAGTTATAAAATTGTAGACGACGATCGGCGAGAGGATCAGATAAGCCGCAAGGTCAGCTGCAAATATTCCGTTCATTTTGTGAATGATAAATGTCACAATATAAGATATGAGCCTGCGAGGAGAAAAGAGTAATAGAAGGGTCTCCTGATGTACGCTTCAGCTGTTTCAATGAGAAAACAGCATCTTATCGGACGACACAGGGATTCATATACCCATCCAACCGAGGCTATACAAACGACTGACTTAACCTATAATGGCATATTGATCGGGAGGATGCAGTATTCAGCCTCGCGATCATCTGCAGCTACAGGTACCATCGCAAGGTTGTTCTATATTCTGCAACCCGTGGCTGGGTTTCGGGCTGAGCAAGTGGGAGAATATAAAGTTTCGGAAACTCGACCCAATGGCATCCAAGCCCCCCACATCCACGGCTACTAGTGCTTACTTCTAGCTTATGCCCGACGTGCTTGGTCGGCTTTAAAGGCAGCCAAGTCCCACTTGCTAGAAGCCAAGCGTCTTCAAACTCTGGCATCCGAACTGGTTACCTTTCTGGGAAGTCACTATCCACACATAGCCCTATTATCATGGTGTACCGGGGGAAGCCAGGTCTGGGGTGTGCCTTATGCAGGACACGACGACTAATCGTACGTGGTGCGCCTCGAGGCTATTGGTGATTATGGCGTACTGACAAAACAGTGCGATCGACGTCGCCCGTCGTGTACACAATGCCTAAGGATCAACCAGGAATGCTCAGGGTATCGCGATCCCAACGTTCTAAGAATCTGTGACCAAACGGACGAGATTACAGTGAAAGTCGAAGGTCGCGGGACGATAGCCCGAAAACAACGCAAGTCGCCTTCTTCGTCGAAGTCTTCTCTCGCAGCCTCTATACTTCCTCCGCCCACCACGATCGACGACCAGGTCATGTCGCATATCTTCACTTACTACGTCGGTACATCGCGAGTCCAGGGTCTCCTCTCCTACCTGCCCCACCTGCTAAACACCGACCCGTCTCCTGCACTCCAAGCCACGATCAAAGCTGCAGGGCTAGAAAGCATGGCGAGAATCAACCGACTTCCCGAACTAAAGCGCGCGGCAGGGGAACAATACGGAAAAGCCCTGATTGCCACTAACAACGCACTACGAGACCCAATATCGGCCAAATCTGACTCCACGCTAGGGGCTGTTATATTGCTCGGTATGTATGAGGTAAGATTAGATTACCTCCACCGATTCGCGGCCCAGCTCTCTAATGCAGGTCCTAGTTGAACACATTCCCAAGTCCAATGCGGGGCTGGTCGCAGCATGTTCGCGGAGCCACAAAGCTTGTTGAACTACGTGGGATGGACCAGTTGAACTCAGCAACGGGAATTGAGTTGTTCAGACTGGTGCGCTTGCAGAACGTAAGTCTTACCCTAACTAAAGTATTCGCGCTGCCTCTCACCTCAACCAGGCAATTAGTAGCATTTTCAGGAGATCTCAGAGGTACAACTCACCAAAGATAGCAGCCCTTACGAGCGTAGCACGAGCCAATAGAGACCAACCTTCACTGCCAATGGAGACATTCTGCGACATATTGATTCAGCTACACGACCTGTCTATCGAAGTGGACAACGCAGTATTGGCTGACGATTCCATCGACACCCTGAGCATACTAATCTGCAAGGCCCTCCACCTTGACACTGACCTGCGGTCCTGGGCCATGTCACTCGGTCCGCATTGGCAATACTCCGTCGTTGACACACACAGTAATCTCAAATCTCGCCCGCAAATCCCACTTCATAGCGACACATACCACGTGTACAAGACCGTCGGGATAGTCTCAATGTGGAATCATTACCGTCAAACCCGGATCATAATACACGAAATGATCAGATCAATGGCTCTACGTCTCTGGGGCCTACAAGGAACATTAGAATGCCAACAGATTGTGTTCGACTCGATAGACATTATCAAGCAAATGACGGACGATATCTGCGCTAGTGTTCCATACCACTTTATATCTGGGGAGGTGACATTCACAGCTTTGGTTCGCCTGCTATGGCCTCTGTTTGTGGCGGGCGACTGTGCGAGTTCAGATCCCGCCACGAAGGAATGGATCGTCCAGACTTTGGAGCACATTGGAAATACGACGGGAATTCAGCAGGCCCTTGGTATGACGAAGATGCTCAGGAATGGACATACGAGGAGCTTTATTCCGGGGACGTGAGGATGGGATGTGTTTCACGACGTGATATATATTTTCCGCTTTTTATTGTCGATTCCCTTCAGCGATGCGTCTTTCTAGCACCTTTCCTTTCTTCTTGCACGCCCACGATTGAAGAATATATACATAATCCAGTAAAAGAAAAATGAAAAACATACAACAGAAGGTGTATGTCAGTGGTCACTGAGCGCTCCAGATTAGCCTATCGCTGTTTTATTTAGTCTATTCAGTTATCTTCAGGTCACTTCAAGGGGCGCTGTCAGTATTCTAAACTAATTTCTTTAAAATATACTGTATTACTGGAATATACTGACCAGAGCAGCCAGACTAACTAGATATAAAATCTGTTCTTTTCTTTTACTAGTTAAAATCTGTATCTTATATTCTCTATATATTTATTTTTCTCTCTGTGCTTTGATGTATACTACTAATTATAGTAATAAAATAAGTATATTTAAAAGTTTATTAGTAAATTAATCTTAATAATCATGATAATTTAAAATATAAATTCAGGGTATTAGATCAGACTAAGAACTAGTATAATAAAATTTTAAGTTTTTTTAATGAATTAGAGAATCTTCTTTTTCTAGGTATATCTTCTATTTATAGAATCCAGCTTTTTTAAATTATATCCCAATGCCTCAGATTTACTTGATATATAAATTTATAAAGAATTTATAGAATTTATGAGCAAAAATATATAAAATTAATTAGAATAATTTTTTATATGTGAAATAATAAAGAGATTTTACTGGTGGTTCAAGTCTGTATTTTATTTATATTATAATTATAATATACTAACTTATATATCCATAATAATTCAAGATTATATTGCGAATGATCTTAAAGAAACTGTTTTATTTTATAAGAATAAAATATTTAAAGACTCTGTATTATTTAATAATCTTATAATTATTTTAATATATCTCTAGTACTGTAATTTTAAAAAATATTATAAAAAATACTTTAACAGGTTATGAGTCCAGCTTAATATTTCTTTACTATTATATTGCTTTATATCAGTAAAAATTAGAGAGATATATCAATTTATAATTTATTAAAAATTATTATAGAAGAAGACAAGCTTGAGTACTAGTCATAGTAATAATAATAATAATCTTAAAGTTTATATTCTAGCAGTATATTATAAGATATCTCTTTCTCAGTAGAACTTTATCTTATAGACTGACTTCCAAATAATATTTTATATTTATTATTAAATAAATAAATAGTATTAAGATGATTGTCCTTATATATTCCTGTATTTTTATAAAAAATTATTAAAAAAAAAAAGAAATAGCAGCTCCCAATTCATAGATTCTATAAAATATATAAAATAGAGATTTCTCTTTTTTTTAATCTTTTAATATTCTTTCTTTCTATAGCATGCGCAAATTATATTTTTATAGATTATATATTTATTAGAGAGATTATGAATACAGCTGAAAATATACAGAATAATAATAATAAGAAAATAATTATTAAATTTAAATTTAGATTAGAGATAAAAAATATTCTTATTTTTCAGCTATATAATAAATAGATAATTAAGAATTCTACTGGTTAATCTTATAGAACAGATTCTTTTAGTAAAAAACTTACAGAACTTAAATATTATATAAATTATATAGAAAATATTACAGGGCGTGCCTGCTGCTGATAAATATTAATAAAAATTAATAAGTAATTTATATATATTCTCTATTCCTTATTAATATTAGATTTATATAAATAAAAATTATTCTAAAACTATAAGAATAAAGTTTGTAGGATATATTAATAAGAATATTTTTAACAGATTATATATATACTTACTTTCTGAAGTAGATAGACTAGCTATTTATCTTAGTATTCCTGGCTATTATAAATATATATAAAACTGGCGCAGTATAGAAATTTATAGATATTTATAACTTTAGCAGTTACTCCCTGTTAAGATAGAGTTTGAGTTTCAGGAGTGACTAGATATTATTAAACTTAATTAATAGATGTAATATCTTATTAATAAGCTAAGTAAGCTTCAGAATTCTATTAATAAAAAGAAAGTGCAGCTAGAATAATATTAAATATATAATAAAAAGCAGAGGCTTTATATATAAAAACTCTGAATCTTATAGTAAATACAGAGAAAAATATTAGTTATATAGTTAACTGCTATATATAAACAGACATTTTTTTATTATATATAAAAAGTAATGCTAAAGTATGATTTACTTGTTTAATTTCTTTCCAGAAATAACTTTCTATAAAATCCTATAGGGAGAGCAGCTCTGGAAGCCCTTGAGGTTATATATATAAATTATAATATAAGTATTTATAATACAGGAATATAATCTATAAATAGAAAATGTCTTTATAAATACTTGCTTACAGTATAAGTATTTATTTTAATATAAGTAATATTTATTAATAGTATAATTATTATTCTTACTGCTGTTGGTCCTATTTATATAATTATTATAAAAAATACTTTTATAAACAGAGTTCTATGAATTTTATATAGTACTATATTACTTATTATCACTGGTTTATAAAGCCTGAAGAGTGGATATTATATTATAAATATTATTTAATAAAACCCGATAATTTACTCTGCTGTAATCTTTTAGTTTTCTGATATATTCTGATTAAAACAGTATATTATTTATTTTATTTTAAAGATAATAGTCTCAAGCCTTATAAACACATGAAACAGTTTCTTGATTATAATAAATAAAATAATTATATTAATTCTTATCTTTTCTTAGAAATATTATCTAACTAATATTATTACCGGCATCCAGCCTGTTCAGAGAATCTAGAAAGTCTGATAGAATTAAAATAATATTTAAAGAATATATACTATATCTTATCCCTGCAAAAAAAAAAA